CCTGGAACGCTTTCTGTGCCTGTTACCTTATATGGCAAAAACAAGTCTTTGCAGGTGTGTTCAAATTAAGAGTCGTGAGATGGGGAGATTATCTTGGATTATCTGGATGGACCCTAAATGCATTCACAAGTATTTGTGTAAAAGGGAGGCAGAGAGAGATTTGACTATACACAGAAGAGAAGGCAGTGTGACCACAGAGGGAGAGATTGGAATGGTGCAGCTACAAGCTAAGGAATGCTGGCAGCCACCAGAAGATGGAAGAGGCAAGAAACAGAATCTTAGGAACAGAGGCAGTGCAGCCCTGCTAACATCTTGATTTTGGCCTAGAAATACTGATTTTATTCTTCTGGTCTCCAGAGCTGTGAAAAAACAAATTTCTGTTGTTTCAAGCCACCACATTTGTGGTTATTTATTATGCAATTGCCCTAGGAAAAAAAAACACACGGGGTTTGTGAGGTTTAGAGATAATGTATTATAATGTGCTTAGTATGATGTCTGGCCCCGTAGCAAGCAGGTTTTCAACACATGCTTACTTTTATTAATGCAAAATCAAGAACAAATGTTTTCTAAAGTGTCTTGATGATGCAGGCTGTGACATGTGGCCCCTGCAGCTTTCTTCAAGTGTGCAAATGAGAAGAGAAAAACATCTTGAGAAATAATCTGTGTGGTTACTGCTTATGAACATTTCCTAAATTCCAGGTTGTGTTCCTCTCTGTTGCTAATTCTGCCCTTAGGGAACTTGTGGTTGGGGATGACTAGGTATGATGGTCAAATATTAATAACAGCAATAATATTAATCGCTAAAATGTAGATGTCTATGTAACAGGCCCTGTACTGAAGTCTGCACGTGGTTCATCTAATTTAGTTGTCACAACGACTCTGTGAGGTATGGGTACCTACGTTAGCCCTATTTGGCAGATGGGGACCCCGAGGTGTGGAACAGTGTGACTTGATCAAGGTCACTTGGGTACGAAGGGCAGAGACAAGATCTGAAGCTAGATCTGTTTGACTCCCAAATCCAGGCTTTTAACCCAGGCATTATATTGTCTCTAGGGTGGCTTGTCCTGACTCAATATTCTTTGAGCTCTTCGGTTGGTATTGGCATTCATTCTCCATTATTTGAAGCTCCCTCTCCTCTTTCCTCCTACCTTTTCTCAGCCCTGGCTGGAACTTGCATGTCAGTGTAATGGAGTGGTGTGATCCAGGCAGGTGTGGAGCCAGAGCCTGGCTCCTTGCACTCACTGGAGGAGGTGTAAGCTTTGGCAAGTTGCTTAACCTTTGCGGAGCTCAGTTTCCTCATGCACATGGTGGGGATCATAACAGTGGCCGACTCAAAGGATGTTATGTGGATCCAATAACGTAATGCTCTGAACGGATTTACAATGCGCCTGGTGCACTGTGGGAGGGCAAAAAATAGCCACCGTTACTGGTGTTTTGCAGGGTCGGAAAAACATTTAAGAATGAAGTAAGAGGGAATTCCCCTGAGTTGGTTTCCAAATGTAATTAAGAGGAGTTGACCTTAAAACCCATTGCCCCTGGGAGGAAACTCACTTCTGCTCGCCAGCGATGCCCAGTTTGACCTGACTGTATCTCAGAACACAGCTTTGCAGCGTTCTCCAGGCCGCCCGGCTGTACCTCTTCTCTGCAATTGCAGGGCAGTGCCTGGCCCCTCCCTTGGAGAGGCCCTGAACTGGCCGATAAGGAGTTAGAATTTGTTCACTGGTTCCAGCTCTATCTCCTTCCAGGGACCTGCAGCCAGGGCTGCCTGTGAAGCCAGGAAGGATATCCATGGTTTTCTTTTGTCCCAAGCTTATTTCTCCTGGCAGCTCTCCGGCAAGAGCGTGGGGTGAAATGAATGGGAGGAAGCTGTCAACTGCCCTGTTGGCCTTAGACAGACCCCGGTCAGAGCCAAGGGAAGAAGTCAGGAGTGCCCCGAGTTTGAGGATCCCTTGGTCATCAGGCTGTTTACCTTAAGATAACAACAATAGCCCACATCCAGTGAGTAAGCACTTAACGTGAACTTAATACTTTACATAGATTTTTTTTATCCTTATGTATTTTTACCCAAATGGAGTCATACTGTACCCTCAGTTTTATAACTTTTTTTTTTTTTCACTTGGAAATATAGCATGGACATTATCAAAACCTTAAAAAAATTTACACAAGAACTTTTTGGTATGTTGGATGTTTTTCATAATAAAATTCTAGAAGAAAAATTATCAAGTTTTTAAATAAATGGGATCATACTTTATATACTCTTCTATACTTTGCTTTTTTACGGTTTGTTTTTAGTATCTTTCCACAATTGCACATTTATAGACCTATTTTATTCTTTTTAATGATGACATAGGGTTTTGCTGAATGGAGGACCAAAATTGATTAATTTCTCTATTAATGGACATTTAGGTTTCTGATTTTTTGTTATTGCAAATAATGCTCCGCTAATAGGGTTACACATAATCTTTAAACACATTTGTAAGTATTGCAATAGGATTGATACCTAGAACTAGAGTTGCAAAGTCATAGGGCATATACATTTAAAATGTTTTTCAATTTTGCCAAATTGTAACTCTTGCTCCACAGATACCTCCCCAAAGGCTGTACCACTGTGCACTTGTATGCTGAGTAGCAGAGCATGAATGTTTCCATGTATATTTATCATACCTTTGTTAATAGCTATGTGATATTACATTTTATGTGAATAATTAACCCTTAAAATTTTTTTATAATGAAAAATTGTCAAATGCACAGAGTAGAGAGAATAATATAATGAATCCCCTTATATTCATCATTCAGGTTCATCAGTAATCAAAATACCATGATTGATCACCCCATGTTGGTAGATATTTAGGTTGTTTCTGTTTTTTCCTTTTTATTTTGTTTCTACAAACAACATTGGACTGAATACATTTGTATTCTATGAAAGCTGCCTCCTCTCAAAGGCCCTTCCAGAGGGTCACCTCCTAGATATAAATCCCTGAGTCAAAGGTAATTTGCAGGTAACATGTAGATATACAAAGGCAAATTGCCTTTGGCTTCTCTATAAGTTTATATCCCACCCACCTTGTTGAGAGGTTCTGTTTTCACAAACTCTCACCAATGGCCTGATTCTTGAGCTTAGGCAAACTCTTTAAACCCAAGCTCTCCTGTTTTTTTGTTTTTTTCTGTCCCAAACAGCTTTACTGCAATATAATTTACGTACCATCTAGTTGACCCATTTGAAATATACAATTTGATATTTTTTAGTGTATTTATAGAGTGGTGCAACCATCACCATAATCAAATTTTAGAACATTTCCAGTACTCCAAAAAGAAACTGTTAGCAGTGTTAGGAGTTGAATTGCATCCCCCAAAATTCATGTGCTGTAGTCCTAATCCACAGTACCTCAGAGTGACCTTATTTGGAAATTGAGTTGTGGATGGGATCTAGTTAGGATGAGGTCATACTGCAGGATGGCCGGCCCCTAATCCAATATGACTGATGTCCATATAGAAAGGAGAGATTTGGGCACAGACACATGCGTGGGGAGAATGCTATGCGAAGATTAGAGATGCGGCCATAAACCAAGGAACTCAGAAGCCAGGAGAGAGGCCTGGGGTGGACCCTTCCTTGCACTTTCAGTGAGAGCATGGCCCTGCTGACACCTGGTCTTGGAGTTTTAGCCTCCAGAACTGTGTGATAAATAAACTTCTATTTTTTAAGTTACTTACTTTGCGACACTTTGTTAAGGCAGTCTTAGCAAACTAATACCATCGATCATTCCCCATTCTTTCCCACCCTCCATTAGTTACTCGAAACTGCTAATCTGCTGTCTCTAGGTTTCCCTATTCTGGATGTTTCACACAAATGGAATTATACAATATGCAGTCTTTTGTGACTGGCTTCTTTCACTTAGAGTATATGTTTGAGGTTTGTCTACATTGTAGCATGTATCGGTATTTCTTTTTATTGCTATATGTATTGCATTGTGCGGATATAATTTATTTTGTTAATGCATTCATCGGCTGATAGATCTCCTGCCTTTTAAACCTGAGCTAACTTTTCCCTATTCTACAGGTTTGTTTTGGGAGGATCTTGGTTGAGCACCTCTGTGTAAAGTGCTCTCTGCTAGGTGCTGTGCATGGAGTAGGGATGAAAACAGGATTTCTTTGCCCTCTAGCAGATTATACTCTTGGGGAGAGAAAATGACATGCAAACAGCATAATGGAGAACAGATTACAAATTTACATAATAGAGTTGAAAGTAAAGTGTTGAGAAGGAAAGTGGAAAGGGCATTTGTGACTGGGGCATAGGGGAAACTTCCCTAACGGGGGTGACTTGGAGCTCTGTCTTGCAGAATGAGGTGGGGGTGCTTTTGATGAGGAGAGGAGAAGAGATGGGTGGGAGAGAATGAGAAAGGAATTCGTACTGAGAAAAACAGTACATAAATATTTAGTCTGGATCAAGGGGAACCAAAGCTGTAGGGCTAATAATCTCTTAGGAATTCAGTATTCCTAACTAGCCAAACCATTTGAATTCCGATGAGTGACATGTTGAGGTTGGGAAGGGGGTTGCTTTTCTGTCCATAGCTGGGCTACCAGAGGATTTCAGGGCTGTAGAGATCAATTTTTTAATTCTTCCATTTTTGATTTTGAATTGGGTTCTCTCTTGCCTCAGATAAAACCATATGGTCAGGGAAGTAGGTTGGTTACTTCTGGGAAAGATGCTTAAAGTGCACTTTATTTTATTTTTTATTTATTTTATTTTTGAGACAGAGTCTTGCCCTGTCACCCTGGCTAGAGTGCAGTGGCATGATCATAGTTGACTGCAACCTCAGACTCCTGAGCTCAAGCGATCCTCCTGCCTTGGCCACCCGAGTAGCTGGGACTACAGGCATGCACCACCACGCCTGGCTAATATCTTCTGTTTTTAGTAGAGATGGGGTCTTGCTCTTGGCCTCGAACTCCTGACTGAACTGGTCTCGAACTCCTGACCTGAAGAGATCCTTCCACCTCAACCTTCCAGAGTGTTAGGATTACAGGCATGAGCCACCGCGCCCGGCCTAAAGTGCACTTTAAAAAGCAAGGCTGTATTTCTATACCTTGGATGAGAAGCAGCTTTTCCCCTCGCCCTTCCCTACTGAAGAGAAATTTGGGTGGAGCTGGGTGGATGGAGGCGTACCTGGTGGGTGGAACCCATGGGTGACAAGGGGCTGAGCACAGGCAGGGATGGCTTCTTCACAACTTGGCAAGATGGGGGAGTCTCCTGAGAAGCAGGGCTGGTGGTGGGATGTGGGGGGATCCTACCTTTCCACCCTCTCTTTCTTTCTAGCTCCAAGGATGTGTGATTCGATTAAGCTCTTCATCTAGGATCTCTTGAAGGTGGAGGCTGTTTCCCACTCCACAGCCCTCATGCCCGGGCAGCGGAGCATGACTGTCGCAGGGAAGCATCTATGAGAGGAGGGGGCTGACAAAGGGGGCCTCTGGACTGATTCTATCCAGAAATTGCAACTGCATTTACATTTCACCCAGGGGATATTTTGATTTAAGAAAGTAAGCTCTATTTTCTCTGTTTAGAAGTCAGTGACATACACCGACCTTTGGCTGACCCATTGAACACTAAATGAATAGGCTTCTGGGCGCCCTGGGGCGAGTTATAGGTCTTGCTCAAACTCAACTGGGGCAAGTGTTGGGTCAGAGAATCCCTGGCTTTTCTGACAAGAGTCTCCAGTGTCCTGGGCTTGAACTCTGGAACACTCATTGAGGATTCTTAGCTTTTTCTTTTTTTTTTTTCTTCCTTCATTCAACAAATATTGTGAGTGTCAACTGTGGGCAGGCACTGGAATAGGTGCTGGGTGTCCCCGGGAGAAGCAATGGCAGGCAAAACAGAGTCTCTGCCATCGTGGGGCTTAGTGCTTAGCAGAGAAGGCAGATAATTAAACCATTACAGATCACCATGGGGCGTGCTAGGATGGAGGAAGTGGAGGATTCTGCAGGAATTTGGGGAAGGAGGGGACTTCTCCTGGATTGGGGGTTCAGGAAGGCTTCTGGGGGGCGTGAAGGAGGAGTGTGGTGGTGGTGGAGGGTGTGGTAGAGTTGGCTCACACAGTGGGGATCCTGTGCTAGGCAAGGGCCACGCTGAGAATGGAAAGAAGTTCTCGAAGGTTAGAACAGAGAGCAGGCAGAGGGAAACAATGAGAGAAGAGGTTGGCGAGGTGGGCAGGGGTGAGTCCTCAACAGGGCTTGTACATGCCCTGAAAAGCCTGGGCTGTTATCTTGAGGGCAATGGGAAGCAGATGAATACTTTAAAAGCCACATAATGACAGCATCCAGAATGCATTTTAGAAGGACTAATGTAGGGAAGAAGTAGCTAATATGGAGAGGATGGATTCCAGAGATATTTACAGGGTGGAATCATGGAGAATGGGAAGTGGGTTGAACATGGGCTGAGGGACATGATGGATTCAAGAGCCAGTCCAGAGTCCCTCACTTGAATAACAGCACGATGGCATCATAGTCCATTCTGTGCTGCTATAACAACTCCAGAGATTGGGCAACTTAGGAAAATAAATTTACTTTTCACAGTTCTGGAGTCTGGGAAATCCAATACAGGTGCTAGCATCGTCCTACCAGGTGGCAGATGGGAGGACAAAAGAAAGCAAGAGCAAAAACCTGCAGCTTCAAGCCTTATGTATGTATGTATGTATGTATTTATTTTTTGAAACAGAGTCTCGCTCTGTCACCCAGGCTAGAATGCAGTGGCATCATCATAGCTCACAGCAACCTCAAACTCCTGGGGTTTAAGCGATCCTCCTGCCTCAACCTCCCAAGTAGTTGAGACCATGCCCAGCCAATTTTTATATTTTTTTGTAGAGACAGGATCTCTCTCTTGCTCAGGGCTGGTCTGGAACTCCTGGCTTCAAGTGATCCTCCTGCCTTGACCTCCCAGGGTGCTGGGATTACAGGCGTGAGCCATAGTGTCTGGCCATTCAAGCCTTTTTATAATCAGTGTTAAATCTGTTCATGAGGGTGGAGCCCCTCAAAACCCAAACACCTCCCATCAGGCCCTACCTCCCAACACTGTTGCACTGGAGAGTAAGTTTTCAACACATGCTTCTTGGGGGACACATTCAAACCATAGCAGTGGCTGTGCCAGTTCTTAGGGTTTGTCCTTAGCTTGTGACGGGACCTCGGATAAACCACTGCTTTTTTCAGATCCTTAGTTTTCTCATTAGATGAAAGTAATAATCCCTAGTCACCAACTTTGCAGGGGATCCGCTGATAAAATCTAATGTGAAAAGCAGTGTCCTGTCCTCCTGTACTGTTTCCATAAGCCTGGCAAGCCTAGCAGAAGCCAAATCTGTCCTCCCCTGTTATCTCTGTCTTCCCTCCTTATCTAACATTCCAAGCACTTGATCTCCTAGGAACTGGTGAGACCTCTGCCCATTCCAGCAGCTAAGGCCTCTCTGGGATTCTCAAACTGGCTTTTGTTGAAAACAATGATATCATCGAGTGGGTGGAGCTGGGCCAGTCAAAAGAGAAACGGGGTCTTTATGACTTCTATACTCACAGCTCTTTTCCAGCCTATTCCATAGCTCCCATGTATTCCCCTCTCCTCCTCCTTTCCCCCTGAGGTTTTGGGTTTGCAGAAAACTGGCAGCCTCCACACTTTCCTCTTGCATCAGTCTCCCCAGAGAGAGGTCCAGATGGGCCAAGGGGCTATAATGGCTGCTTTATACACCAAGCATGGTTTCTTTTCCCGAGGCCCCCCCCCCTTCTGGGGAAGGGCGAGTCATGGAAAGGGATTCCTTTGGAGGGAGGTTGCAGTGCTACAGAAAGGGGTGATCTAAGTGTTGGGAGGGGGATGTCAGGCTCCTTGTGTTCTAGAAAGCTCTTTATCTCCTGACTTACTGATGCTGGATTTGAGGCTTAGGTAAGAATGCAAAGACCAGTCAGGTATGTGGTGATAAGAACATGACTGTGGAAAAGGAGATAGCCATGTTGAGTGAGCATCCTTACTTCTTGATCCTTAGGCTGGCCTTGCTTTCTGCCCTCAACACACACACATACATACGCACGCACGGACACGTGTGTGCACATGCAAACCTCTCTCTATACCTGCGTAGGCAGCTTGGTAGGGGAAACTGGAAATTGGTCACCACACTGGTTTGCAGCTGTTCTAGGAAGGAAGGAAGGAAGATGAGCTGTGAAACAGTGGCTTGCCTTCTGGGGAACAGGCAGCGACACCTGCCCTCTGTGTGGCCTGTCAGTGTTTGCCAAGCGCTGTCACAGATGGCCTCCTCTATCTAATCTTCATGGTGGGAGCTGCAGGTGCCAGGGGGAGGGCAAGAAACCCAGGCCTACCTGGTTGGCTGCTGTATCCCCAACCATGCACACAAGGAGTGCTAGCTTCCCGATGCCATGTGCCCTGCAGTTTGTACTGTATTATGCTGCTTAATAAGCAATTATTGATGAGATTGCACGAACATCCTTCCTTTCTGCCTCCTGGGAGTGTCTGGCTGGCCCAACTCTTGGATTATCTACCGCTGACATTTAGCTTTCACTAGTTACCGAGATGATAGGTTTGGCAACAAAATATAACTATGTGATGCTGGCTAAGTTGCTTTTGTTCTCTTTCAAATTTTTCCTCTGTCCAAGTAGGGGGTCATGTTGGGCAGAGAAGGTGGTATATAGAGATTGTTTAGTTGTAGTGGGCTCTGCAATTTATACACTGGCCTCTGCCTCCCTGCAAAAAAAAAAAAAAAGACTTCTTGGAAAGGATATGAGGCAGCACACAGGATGAGGAAAAAGGTGAAGAACGAGGGTTTTAAAAGATTGAGATCCAGGAATTAATAGACAGTCCCTTCCGGTGCTACCAGAAGGATGACTCAGCCCCAGCCATTTCCCCACTGGTGTCGCTCATCTAGAAATGCCAAGATGAGATCTGACTGTCCAGGCTTGTCATGCCAGTCATGCAATGAGAAGAGAGTATTTCTTTACATGCACATCACTCCGCTGTTATCCCAAGAAGGTGGCAGGGATGCCGGGCAGGCTGGGACAACAGGTGTCCACTGTGATCCAAGTTCGAACATTCTTGACTAGTGTTTTGAATTGATCTGTGCTTTACGATGCCAGGAAACATTGAGCATGTTTATAAAAGTTCCTGGGATATTTAATCGGAGGCTGAAGGGGACTCAGCACCTACATTTTAGCAGGTTGGTTTGTGTTCTTCACGTGCTTGTTTTATGGTTGGTTGGTTGTTTTTCAGGGGCTGGTCCACCTTTTCCCTTCTTTCTAAGCATACTCTCACAGGTCCGGTGATCTCAGAGGGCCCCTTTCTTCCCTTCCCCTGTGTCTCATCCGCACTGTTGATCTTGTAATGCGGTCGTTTCCTCCCACCGCTCGCCACGGCCCTTCCCTTCAGGTTATCTGTGCTATCAGCTAATCTGATGAACAGTGCAGTTATTTACCAAAAACCGGTTGCTAGAGAAGCTGGTGTCAGGTGATATTTTTGCTGTTAAATTTTTCTCAGAAATACTAAACGATAGCTTCCCATTTCTCTGAACTGTTCTTACCCAGTCCCAATAAATATCCATAATGGGCTACTCAGGATGCTGCAGAGCAAATCTGTGAGCAATTCTTGGGGGAGTCACAGGGTGACCCCTTCATGCCCTGCCAATTAAGCTACCTGAGCCCAAGAAGTCAACCCTATCTGTACAGAGAGGTCACTCAACCCTTGTAGTGTAGAGGCAGCCAAGAGGGAGGCACGAAGAAGACTAAATAAAGACCCTACTGGCCAAAGGAGTAAATGGTGCTTATCCAAACATCCTTTGGGATGTGATATAAAAGCAAGACACAGGACGAGGAGCTGGTCGGAAGGGTGCCAGGTCTTGTGGGCACTGGGAGAAGACGTCATGGGAAGCAGTTGGTGAAAAGGAGTGTTGATTTAATGCATTGTTTGGAAACTTCCTTAATAGGAGGTTAAAGAAAACAGATCCAGTAGCTTTGGCTTGTTGCCAGACTTGTGGGTGGTGCCATCTTGCCTTCGAAGTGTGGGTCCCAAAGCTGGTCCTCCAGCAACAATTATGCTTAAGCGAGTTCTTGGGATAGGAGGAAGTCTCAGTCCTTTATTATAGGAATAGCCTTTAAAGTTTCCTCTTCCTTGGCCTTGTCTTTTTTCCCTGGAAAAGGAATGCCTCTGCTTGTGGGCCCCTGGACTGATCAATCCCTTATTTGGCTTTGGGGCCATGGCTTTGGCATGTGGGTTTGTTTCCATTCCTTTGGAGTCAGAAGTGGAATGAGCACTGATTTGGAAATCTGGGTTCTGAAACAGCTCTAGCTGTCTCTCCTCCCCTTTTCTTTCACCATCTTCCAAAACAAAAGAAGAAAAAAAAAACACAATGTTTGCTGAATTTTGTTTTTTTGACCCAAATGTGGACTAGCATAGGCCATGACATGAAAATAGCACTCCCTTCTTTTCAAAGACACTTCCCAATGTCTGCCTGTCCTGGGCCTCACCATTTGCATTTGATAGAAAAAGAAACTGAGGCTGAGTAGTTTGTGATGTGCACCACATTTACTGAGCTAGTTAAAAAAATATATTAGCACAATATTTGCTGAATTTTGTTTTTTTGACCCAAATATGGACTAGCATAAGCCATGACATGAAAATAGCACTCCCTTCTTTTCAAAGACACTTGCCAGTGTCTGTCTTTCCTGGGCATCACCATTTCCATTTGATAGAAAAAGAAACTGAGGCTGAGAAGTTTGTGATGTGTACCACATCACTGAGCTAGTTAAAAAAATATATTAATATCAAAACTTACAAACATACCCCCAAAAAGAGAGACTAGTAATATGAACCCATTATCTAGAGCTAAGATTTTGCCACATGTGTTCATAGCTAGTGCTGGAGAAAATGACAGTGCTATTTGTAGAGCACAGATACTTTCTACTTTACAAAGAATTCTTCCACATTTGTTCATTTTGTCTGACAAATACTTAAATAGTCTTACTTGATGTCACTAACATCTTCCAGCAGCCCCATGAAGTTGATTCTGTCATTCTCTCCCTTTTATAGATGAGAAAACCCAGGCACAGAAGGGTTACTGACTTGCCCAAAGTCACACAACTTGTAAGTTGTCAGAGCTAGGGTTTCAACGTATTTTCTTATTTGAGCCTCTCAACATTGCTGTGAGGTAGTCATTATTACTCTGCCCATTTTGCAGTCTAGGAAATGGAAGGGGTTTAGGTGGCTCAAGTAAAAACAAATTCTGTACAAACACATTGTGAGCGCTTACGGAAGTTTTAGTTATCTAATTAATGGGAGAAACCAGCAAGATAGTACAACTGGTTTAAAATTGGATAAGGGGAACCAAGGGTGTGTGTGTATTTAATAGTGAAAAAAGGAATGCTGAGATAAGATTGCTAAATTAGATACAAAACTTGGTGATATCCTCAGGGCAATGAAACCAAAGCTTTTGGAGTTATCCTTTCTGCTACATGGAAGTATTTGCATTTCTCTTGTGTCTTACTTAGTGTTTACAAGCTAACATCTGATTTTACGAGTGGTACAAGACTGCCCTAATTAATTGTAAGTAGTAAGTCTTTCAAAGCCACACGCCTCCTGTGGAGGAGTCCAGAGAACCCTAGACAGGCCTCTTTGAGTCTAAGGCCTGGCAGTGCTTTTTTGTGACATTGAAAGGAACCACAGTCATCTTTTGCCTTATTTCCAGAATTTGGAAGGACAGTTGCCTGGTGCAGCTGGTACTCAAACCAAAGTATTCTGAGCCCTAGACTTTCCCTCTATGCTGTGCTGGTATCAAGATATTTGAAGGCTGATTAGAGGGCTAGACATGGGAAAAAGAATGTAAAATGTTAAAATTGATCAAATGTAGAAATTTCCAGAGACTTAAAAAATATCACCTGGAAAAACTATTACAAATACAGATTTTTTTTTTTTTTTTTTTTTTTAGTTATTTCCTGGAGAATGTACTTCTTAGTTGAGCTGAGATGGGGGCCTGGGGTTTTATATTTTTTCATAGACTTTCTGGGTGTTGCGCAGTGACTTGGCTAAGTCCCCTATGATGACATTAAGAGTGACGTTATCACCTACTCAGGCAGGGTGAAGACCCTCGAAGTGAAATAAAAGAGGACTAGCAAGGCTGTACCTCCCCAGGCATCATCAGGGTATAAATGCCTTGGTACTCTTGGAAGAACTAGATGCAGCAAGACCCGGGAAAGGAGGTGTCAGTAAAAATAGCCAGTGAAATGAGTGGAGTAAGGCTTGCTTATGCTGAGCTATCTGTATAGGTTGTTTTTCAAGGTAGTTTGGAAATTGTTTTCACCCTGTTCTTTGTGGTTTTGCTTATCTGAAGCATGAGGAAGAAGGGTTGAGCTCCCAGAAGATGTTTTGCAAATTTACGTTAATCTTTTGCTGTTCCTCCCTCTCGAGAGGGAGTTTAAGAGAGGCATTTGAAATCTGTCTGACAGTAAAAATAATAGTTCTTAAAGGAGTTGTCCTGGGTTAGAAGGCTCCAAGCCTTAGAAAGATGTGTCAGAGCTCTTTTCAGAATGCAGGGTGCTTTCTGAAAGGGGAGCCCCAGCTGCTTGTACAAACAGGCTCCTGTTCTTCCCTGGAGAGTGACCCGATGTTTTGTGTCCAGTATTAGGGGGCAGCTTATTTTCTTAGGCGTCACTCTGAAGATGCAGGTTTTTATTCAAGAACTCTGGGGTCTGAGCGAAGCGAGCAGTGCGGTGCTGGCTGCTGGTGTCACGTCTCTTCTGGAAGTGTCCTGCTGCCCTCTGCCTGGCTCTGGGCTCCTGAGCAGAGCGCACGGGGTGGAAGAGGCCGTGTATGTTACGAGAGAAATTGCTTTTCTGTGGAAGCTCGAAACAGGAGGGGGCAGGATGGGAAATCTTGGATAGTCCTTCTCACTTCCTGGATGCACATCACTCGCAACTCATTTCCTGAAAATCCTCATGCAATCCCGTGGTGAGAGACGGCTTCCTGCCGGCTGCTGAGCCAGCCCCTTGTCGGGGAGGAGATGAGAACAAGATGTGGTTGAGAAGGGACAGCTGCGGGCCATGCGGCCTCCTCTCTGAGGGTCTGGCAGTGCCCGAGCAGGTGGGCATGCATGGCCTAGCTCGAGGCAGTTGGAGAGCGGTCGAAACAGGTGGGGGCCCCAACTTCAGAGTTTCTATCTGATTAAGCAGGTCTAGGGTGGGGCCCGACGGGTTGCGTTTTTAAGTACTTTCTGGGTGATGCTGACGCTGTTGGTTCAGAAAGGGGGGACAGGTGGAAGAGGAAGCAGATTGTCCTGTGCGGATTCAGGAGCCAGAATGCAGGCCGTGGGTGCCAGTTACAGAGAGGTGGTTTTTAATTCAATGTAAGAACTTTAACCACTGCATGTGGTCAGAAATGGAGTGGGTGGTCTCAGGAGCTCCCTGTCCCTGGAGGCGTCCAGTGTTGAAAGGCCATCTGGCAGATTCCTCCACCAGGTACAAGGTTCATTCATTCGTTCGTGCATCTATTCACTCATTCACTTGTTCACAGAACACACATATACTGCCTGCCTGCCAGCTGTCAGCAGCTGGAGAGAACCCTTGAAAAACAACCGTGGTCCCCACCCATAGTCTTAGTGGGTTTGGTTGCATAATTTCTAGGGTCCCTTTCAGTGCTGAGGCTCTTGAGACTCCTATCTTGGGGGGTGGGGCAGATCCTTAGAATAAGGATCTTATTTTCTGAGGACTTGTGGCTGAGGACTGGCAGGATCGTGGACACCTCTGAGGCTCAGTTTGGATTGCTGTCTTTGCAGCATCTTAATGGCACTGGATGAATGATTCCCCCCCACCCCCTCCTGCTAAGACTCAGAAGAGGCTGAGAATGTCTTTTCCAGGAGTGCATTTCCTGAGAGAAAATTCACATCTCCCCGCTGGCATCTGGGAGGGACCGTTAAACTCTGAACCCCTGACCAGCCATGCATTATGCAGCCTGGGAAGGCAGACCAGGAAATGGGCTGCAGGAAGGAGCAAATGGCTTTTTACCACCTCTCTCAAGCGATGCCTTGGAGAGTTAATGGCTGGGGAGAGTTAGAGAAAACTAGAGAAATTCCATGAGTTTTTCTGGGTTCTTTCATCATAATCCCCGTTGAAAGCAGTAATGATAATCACTGACTTGTGCTGAGCTCCGCTCTATGCCAGGCATGGTGTTGAGCCTCTTGCGTGCATGATTGTGTCATTTGATTCTCATGACAGCCCCATCAAGTCAGTGGGTATATTACCCTCATGTTTTGTGCAAGAGGAAACGAAGGTTTGGAGAGGTAACGTAACTCGCCCATGGCCATAGAGTAAATTGTCAGAGCTGGAATCAAAACCTCAGTCTTAGGCCAGCCACGGTGGCTCACGCCTGTAATCCTAGCACTCTGGAAGGCCAAGGCGGGCAGATTGCTCGAGGTCGGGAGTTCAAAACCAGCCTGAGCAAGAGCAAGACCCTGTTTCTACTATAAATAGAAAGAAATTAATTGGCCAACTAATATATATAGAAAAAATCAGCCAGGCATGGTGGCTCATGCCTGTAGTCCCAGCTACTCAGGAGGCTGAGGCAGGAGGATTGCTTGAGCCCAGGAGTTTGAGGTTGCTGTGAGCTAGGCTGACGCCACGGCACTCACTTTAGCCTGGGCAACAAAGTGAGACTCTGTCTCAAAAAAAAATAAAAGAAGTAAATAAAAAAAAAACCCTCTTCCAGACTCCAGACCCTACTCTAAGCTCTCAGTACACTGAACTACTCACTCACTCACTCACTCATTCATTCATTCATTCATTCAGTAATTAGTTAAGTAATCCTTTCATCGAACAAACGTTAAGCACTGATAAATGCCAGTGAGCAAAACTGGCCTCTGCCCCCACTGGGCTTACAGTTTATCTCCCATACACTCTTTTCTTGAACCCCTGGTTGGTTATCTCAAACTCTGACCAGCTAAGGAGAAACAGACAGACAGACAGATTCTGGCAAGTTTGCTTGTGACCCAAAGTTTCCATCTGAATGAGAGTTTTTCTATGCAAGCTTCGCTTTATTTTCACATTTCTCTGTTGGGTTTCTTTTCTGCTTGTCCAAGGCTGCATGTTGAAGGCCTCGACACAATATGAGAGATCTTTCTCGTGGCACTTATGTTCTGACTGCATGCTGGGGGAGGAGGGACATCCGAGATTCAGGAGTTCCAGAACATACAGCTGGAAGTGACTCGAGAGACTCTCTGTAATGACCCTCTCTTGCTGGGAAATGCCATTTATTTCAAAACCCGGTTGTCCCTACAGATTTCTTTGGCTTTCTGTGCTGGCCTCAGCCTGCATTTTCTTCTTTTTAAAGGCAATTTTAAATTAGGCCTTCAGTTTTCAAAATATATATCTGATAATTGACTTGAAAGTCAACCAATTTCAGAAATGTGTAACTTTTGGTGAATGTTATCTGTGATCCCCTGACATAATCAGCATTAACAACAGGCATTTGTGTCTCCACTTGTTTTCAGTACATGCACTAGTGTATACAATTATTAGTTTTTCATTAAAATGGACTTTTAAGATACATACTTTTCTGAAATTCACTGTTCCTATCTAACTCCATTTGAGACATCTTTCCATATTAGCACATATAGATCCACATCATTCTTTCTTTTTTTTGTTAGACTCCAATTTCTAATGGTGCTTTTTCATTATAACCTTTTTTGTACCCTGACCTTGAATTTCTCTAGATCAAATCCGCTTTTAATGTGGCTGAACTAGTTGAAACATCTATTTGGCTGTTTTACTTTTCTTTTAACTTTCAGAGAGAAATTCTAGGAACATTGTTTGGTGTCTCCTGGACTTTGATGAGGGATTCTTAACCTCTACTTCAAGGGGTCTGCGACAAGACAGAAACCAATGTCCAAGTTTAGAAAAGAAAATAATGAATTTATTGGAAGGGTAATATACAGAACTACCAGGTCTCAGGAAATTCTGAACCACTAGGTCTCAGAAAGGACAGCAAAGGCAGCTCTGGGAACCCACATAGCAGGGACAGGAGCAGATGTATTGCTTCCGTCTGTTCAGACCTAGCGACATCACTCCATTGGCTTAGCTTGAAACAAGGGCCGCCCCTTGGCAAGGTCCACGTAGGACACCGTGATTGACAATCTCACCAAAATATCCATCAGGAAAGAAGGACTCTCTTAAAGAAAAATTGGTCTGCTGATACTGAAAATTGGTGAATGCCATGCTGGAAAAACCAATCAAGGAGCATCTGAAAACCCTGGAAAATTTTGCATGTGTTTGCATGTGTATTTTCCCCAAACCCAGAAAAACATTACGATTGTTGTTTTAGTTGTTATCAATGCCATCTATTAATAGTTGGTGTGATAATCCCAGTAAATATAAAATTAAAAACAGACTTCCTTTTTGTTCTTTAGCCCCTTGTGTCTGTGTAGTTTCTTTTGTATGCAAACACTTGGGATGGCCCTGCCTTGTTCAGTTAAAATCACCTGCCACTGTTACCAGGAGCATGGAGCCCATTAACTAAAGAGATAAATATCTGTTTTTATTGTTTGCAGGCACCTTTTTGCTCCAGCCTACACGGAAACCCACTATACTCCAAGTGGTAACCCTCAAACCACCACGCTGAAATCAGAGGTGAGTTCAGGTCAGCAGATGTCTGTCCCCGCCACTGCCCTCTCTCGCCACCACTCCTGCGGACCGAGGACAGTCTGGATGGAGGAGGTCCTCCTCTCGAGGAATATTTCTCCTGACCGAAGACCAAGGGAGCAAACAGGAGAAGTAAAGTGTGTACTTTGTGTTTCATAAGTCCTCCCTCTCCTTTGCTAGCTAAAATGGCTAAACAAACAGACTATTTTAGGGTAATTACATCTGATTAAAATCGATGTATAGCATCGTGAAGCATACATTTTCTTTGCTTCGTGTTAATAACCCACACATCAATAAAACTCTAAGTTAATGTGTGGGTTATTAACACGAAGCAAAGAAAATGATTCACCCATAATCCCATCTCCTCACCCAACAAGATAGTTGATCGGCCACCCTCCCCTTTTTTAAATGGAAGTATAAGCTTCCCAGAGTCGTAAGCACTGTGCATACAAATTTTGTAGTCTGCCTTTTTGATGTGATTTTAAGTTATAAAGGTTTTCTTATTTTGCTGATATCTTTAGACTGGACATTTTTTCCCTGAAAGTTGTTTTTGAGTGGGGATGTTTGCACAAAATCAAAGATTTGTCATTTGGAAAATGGTCTTTCACATGGATACATATTAGTTTGCTTTACCACACCTCACTGGTGGACATTTAGTGTAGTGAATCACACCCATTTCATGGTTTGCTAGCTCTTCCTATGCGTGCCTATTGGAATTTGTAGGCTCAGAGCAGTGGTGGTCAGCCAGGAGCTATGCTCCCCACACCCTGCCCCAGGGGACCCTTGGCAATGTTTGGAGACAGTTTTTTTTTTTTTTTTTGGAGACACAGTCTCGCTTTGTTGCCCAGGCAGGAGTGCCGTGGCATCAGCCTAGTTCACAGCAACCTCAAACTCCTGGGCTCAAGCGATCCTCCTGCCTCAGCCTCCCGAGTAGCTGGGACTACAGGCATGTGGCACCAGGCCCGGCTAATTTTTTCTATATATTTTTAGTTGGCCAGATAATTTCTCTCTCTCTGTCTTTTTTTTTTTAATATATTAATAAAAGCTTTATTAAGATATAATTCACATACCATACAGTTCACTTATTTAAAATGTACAATTCACTGGTTTTTAGTATCTTCATAGAGTTGTACAACAATCACCACAATCAATTGTAGAACATTTTCATCACCCCTAAAAGAAGCCTTATACCCATGGGGCTTATGGAACAGAACAACCAAGATTCTTTCTATTTTTAGTAGAGACATGGTCTCACTCTTGCTCAGGCTGGTCTCAAACTCCTGACTAGAGCAGTCCTCCCACCTCAGTCTCCCAGAGTGCTAGGATAACAGGCATGAGCCACCTCGCCTGGCCTGGAGACAGTTTTTTTTTTTTTTTTTTTTTTTTTTTTCCTGGAGACAGTTTGGATCATCATAATTGAGGCTGAGAGGAAGCTACTGGCATTTAGTGGCAGGAAGCCAGGGATGCTGCCAGACATTCTACAATGCATAGGACAGACCTTCCACAACAGAGAATGATCCTGCTCCAAGTGCCACAGTGCCCAAGTTGGGGAGCCCTGGATTCAAGGTCCCCTTTCTCAGAGCCTGTGCTATTGAGGAGGGGTGAAAGAGAAGAGGCACATGGCCTGGGAGGTGTGTGAATGACAGCAGGAGGGTCCTCTCAGCCTCAGGCTCCTGCAGCAGCTTCCCAGGGACCCCGAGACCCCACATGGCCCCATATTCTTCACAATATCCCTGCCAGAGTGCAGGCGTCTGACATGACAGTGCCAGCCACTGTCCGTCATTAACAGCTCAGGTTAGGTCATCAGCTTACCCCTGGCTGGCGAAAGCCACATGGGACGATTACGTTTTGATAGATCTGACTGATCTAGAGCCTAGTGACCAGGCAGCTGGGGGCTGTGTTCGAGGCTGGGTGTTAAGAGCGGTGTCGCGTTCTGCGCCAAGACCTTCCAGGCTGGGGAAGGAGTTGGTGTGGCCAGTGCGTGCGTCTTCTCTGTGTCTCCTCATCTCCTGGGGGGGCTGTCCAGCTGTGACTCCACACTCCTCAGTGCCCCTTGGTCAAAACTTGTCCTCTAATCTTGAGAGCTCTGTTCTCTGCCTCCAGGGGTGGGGGCGGGGGGTATGAGTGGGGGGTGGTTCGGGCTTACCTAGAAAGCCTCTAGCCATTGCAACCTCTTGGAAACACCCTCCTCTGGGTTTGGCTCCTGCCCCTTCTGTACCCAGGGCTCAAGAATGGGTCTCAGTCTACAATTTGCCATGAGCTCATGCTTCCTGCTGTGAGAGCCCCCTTGGGGTGGCCCCATCAGGCGGAGAAGCCACGGAATGCAGTGACTTCATGACTGGCCTGTGACTTGCTCTTTGTACTCTCAGCTTGTGCGTTAGGCAGAGATGTTTGAAGGGCCTTTCAGAGGAGTGGGAAGAGAACTTCCCCACATCCCTCGTCCCCCTCCTTCCTGAAGGTCTCGTTGACTGCACCATGGGACACGCATTGTTTTCTGACTCGCCCTGCTACCAGGCTCTTGCAAAGCCCCCACCCAGGCCCGTGGGGTTCTCAGTGGGTGTTTGATTTGGAAGCTAAGCTCTCAAAGAGAAATGGGAATGGAATAAACCACTCAGCTGCATTTGACCCAAGTGTTGAGGACTGCACTCCACCGCCAAACTTGGCCTGGGGTGGCTGGAGTTCTGGGAACCTTATCAAGACTCATCAGGGGGAGGCCTTTAGGCTACAGCCCCGATCTAGGTCAGGTCACTGGGGGACGGGTCCGTGGACGTGTTCCCGCGGAAAGAGTTACAGGGTTTGGGGGCTGAAGCCAGGCTTGAAGTCTTGGCTTTCACCAGCTATGTGACCTCACACAACCCTTTTGCCCACACTAGCGTTGAGTTTCCTCATTTACAAAGTGGATGTGCTGATATCTGACTCGCAGAGCTATAGAAGGGTAAGATGAATCACCGGTTTTTATGGGAATTCATAAACATCTCTTTCAACCCTACGTTTTACAGATGAAGAAATTGACAGAAGAGAAGTAGCTTGCCTAAGTTTGGATAACTAGTAACGGGCAAGGCTCAGACTAGAACTTGTCTCCTTCGTTGCTCGGGAAACGGGGGGATGACGGAGCTCTGACGGGTCGAGTCCCCCCTTTGTCACTGCTGGGAGCAGCAGAGGATGGAGCAGGGGGCCAGGCTGCTGGGTCCCAGTCTCCACTTTGCTGTGTCACCTTGCGAATGACTTAAACCTCTCCAACCTTCTGTTCCTCCCCTTTTAAAGCACAAGAATAATATCTATCTCATAAGACTGTGGTCAGATTTGAAGGAAACAAGAGTCTTCTTATATTGTCCATCCAGTGGTAACAGCTGGACAGATGTTAGGTCTTATCGGTGGTAACAGTAAGTGGCAGGTGTCACGATCGCAGGGCATAATGTCTAGGAAAAGCCTCTGTGGATTGTACAGCATGTTACAAAGTCAGTTGGGCTATTCCAGAGAATGCCCGGGCTGCAAACACTGTTAGCATCAATCCAAAGGTAGCTAGGATACTGTCATGAAAACACAAAAAATAAAAAATATTAAAAAAAAAAAAAAAAAAAGATAGGAAGAAATGCCCAGATTCTTTGCAGCCATCCCGGGACCTGAGATCTCTTTATTAGTGATGGTGCCAGCATTTGAAAACTGTAGCTGACATGCCTTTCTGGACTCCTTCACTCTCTGTCATTCTAGTGTCTGTGAGCCCCGTGCCGTTCTGGCCCCCTTCTCGCCGTGAATGACCCCGTGCTGTGGGGTTTGTGGCCCCACTGTTGAGTTCTGAGGACCAGGATCGGGACTTGAGTGCTTCATGGTCAGCCTCTGAATTCCAGAGCCCGGGCTAGGGAGAGGAGCCACGTGACGTTTGAAAGCAGTTAGACTCCAGGCTGGAAGGAGTGGAAGGAGTGGAAGGAGGGGTTTGCCTGCGTACTTTCTTTCCTAAGTGCTGGGGGAGTCCTCTGCCCCCACCACGGGGTCCTTTCTTTGTGCTCCTCTGAAGGGTGGGACTGGACTTGCCCAAAGTCCAGGAAAGTTTGATGCAAAGGTAGGGTTGGCCCCTGTCCTTCCTCCTGACTGCACAGGCTTCAAGGGGAAGGAGCCACATCGCTGGCCAGTGGATTATCGGCAGACGAAAGGACACCTGTGGTCCGGAGACTGAGCCCGAGTCGAGTGTCAGCTTGGCCCGTATCCTCTGATCTGGCTGCCTGGCTAAGCCAGATGGGACATAGAATTGGCACAGTGGAGGCCGGGATTCAGCCCCTTGGTGGGCTTCCGTGTCCCTCGAGGCCACGTGTGCCTATGATGAAGGAGGATTTAATGATAATGCGGTCACTGATGTTTACCGCCTGCCACTCCGGGCCAGGTGCTCTGCTGGCTCCTTTAAGCACAGCATCCTCACAACCACTCTGCGAGGTAGAGCCTGAAGATGCTGAAGGTCAGCGAGAGGTCGTGGAACTGCTTACATAGCTGGGAGGTGTGGGGGCTTGGATTTCAATCTGGCCTGGCCGTGCCACGATGCTCCAATTTAATTAGTAGGCTGTACTCACGCTTAGAGCTGGGAGGGAGTTGGAGCCAGAGAACACAGACACATGGGTTAGCTGTCTGCTGGGTCACAGCCCAGGGGACAGAGCAACCACTGCAAGCAGCGTGTGGTCCTAGAGATGGACCCCTTGGACTGTCACTTGTGTGGAGGCCTGAGCATTTAGGATTGGCCCTGCTCAGCATCAGGACATTGGAAAAGAGAAACCTTCCATGTCTGTAGCTGTGAGTTTACATTCTTCTGAAGATCTCTTTGGGACCTGGCTCTACCCTGAGGGTTTTACCTTCTCTCTGTTCTGACCATCTTATCTCTCTTGACCTATTTGGGAAGAAGCTTACAGGAATGTGTCCCTTCTTGTTACCCCTTGGTTTGTTGGGGACAGTCTTGGTTCTACCCATCTGTCTGGTTTTGGACTTTAGCACTCTCAACAGTGCTGTATTTGCCTCCTGGATACTATGGCTACCCTACTTAGCCATCTGCCAGTACCTCAGACATTTATTTCAAGCCACTCCTTATGGTTTGTAATTATATCTTCTTTTTTAATCTTTTCCTTTTCTCTTTTTTTAGAGACAAGGTTGTACTCTGTTGTGCAGGCTGGAGTGCAATGGCATGATCATAGCTCACTGCAACCTCCAACTCCTGGCCTCAAGTGATCCTCCTGCCTCAGCCTCCCCACATGCTGGGATTATAGGCATGAGCCAGCATGCCCGGTCTATAATTGTGTCTTTGTTTGGCTTTCTGATTAATGACTGGCTCTCACAAGACTCTAAACTCCAAAACGGCCAAAGCTATGTCTCTATCTGCTTATTACCGTGTCTCTGGGGCCTGGCCCAGCGCCTGGCATGCATGCGTGCTCCACAGCTGGGTGGGGAAGACCAGAAAGCCGTGAGACACAATGACTAGAGAGCAGAGCAGACCTCATGGACACAGGTGCCAAACCAAGCATGGCCCAGGTGTGGGAGGACTCAGGGAAGGAAGGTGTCGTGAGCTGGGGAAAGATGGGGGTGTATTCATTTCCTTGGGCCGCTGTAACAGAGCACCATGAACCTGGAGGCTTAAAGCAATAGAAATGTATTCTCTCACAGTTCTGGAGGCTACAAGTCCAAAATCAAGGCATGGGCAGGGGTGTGCTCCATCCAGAGTCTCTAGGGAAGAGTTCTTCCTCACCTCTTGTAGCTTCTGGTGGCCCCTGGCCAGCCTTGGTGCTCCTTGGCTTGTAGCTTCATCTGAGTCTCTGCCTCCATCTTCAAATGGCCTCTTTTCTTTCTCTGTATTGTCTCTGTGTCTCTTCTTTTTTTTTTTTTTTTTTTGACAGAGTCTCGTTTTGTTGCCCAGGCTAGAGTGAGTGCCGTGGCATCAGCCTAGCTCACAGCAACCTCAAACTCCTGGGCTCAAGCAATCCTCCTGCCTCAGCCTCCCGAGTGGCTGGGACTACAGGCATGCGCCACCATGCCCAGCTAATTTTTTCTATATACGTTAATTGACCAATTAATTTCTTTCTATTTATAGTAGAGACGGGGTCTCGCTCTTGCTCAGGCTGGTTTCGAACTCCTGACCTCGAGCAATCCGCCCGCCTTGGCCTCCCAGAGAGCTAGGATTACAGGCCTGAGCCACCGCGCCCGGCCATCTGTGTCTCTTCTTATAAGGGCACTTAGTCACTGGATTTAGGACTTGCTCTAATCCGGTATGACCTCATCATTTAATTACACAAGCAAAAACCCTACTTCCAAATAAAGTCACATTCTGAGGTTTCAGTGCACGTGAATTTTAGGGGGACACTATTCAACCCTCAACAGGGGGTTACAAAGGTGACGTTGGTGGGGACACAGACTGGTGTTTCCTGCGGCTAACATCATGCCATGGAAAGCGCTCTGAACTAGATCCGCAAGTCCTGGGTTCTCCAGCTAGCAGGGAGACCTTTGGCAAATCTCCTCGCTCCTCTGAGCCTCAGCTTCCTTCTCTGTTCAGTGGAGGTAATGACATCTGTCCTGCCCACTCTCCCAGGATTATTATAAGCATCAAATGAAACGGTGGCTGGGAAGGCACTTTGCAGGTTATAAGGTGCTATAAGGTTGGTGCAGATGTATGACAAGCTGTGGATCTTCCGTCACCTCCACGAGACACTAGCACCGCCATGCTTATCGATGTTCTTTGGCCTGACCACCTCCTCTCTCCTTGCTAGGACCACTGCTTTTACCACGGCTCGGTGAGGGAGGCAGAGCAGTCCAGCGTCACGCTCAGCACCTGCCGGGGAATCAGGTAAGAGACCCTAGGGCTGCGGGTGGGGGACCTGGCACTCTCCCTGGGACAAGCAGGGCCAGCCTAAGGCAAGGGCCTTGGGAAGGAGCCCACTGAGAGTGTGTGGGCGCCAGCTCTGAGGAGGGCCGGGCCTGGGAGGGCAAGGGAAATCCTAGATCAGGCGTCCTCAGACTACAGCCCGCGGGCCACATGCGGGTGTTTTTGCCCATTTGTTTTTTTACTTCAAAATAAGATATGTGCAGTGTGCATAGGAATTTGTTCATAGTTTTTTTTTTTAAACTATAGTTTGGCCCTCCAATGGTCTGAGGGACAGTGAACTGGCCCCCTGTTTAAAAAGTTTGAGGACCCCTGTCCTAGATAATCCACAGATGCACCAGGATTTGTTTCACTTTCCTGATGAACTTGATGTTTTAAAATACAGGTTTTATCATCATGTAGGTATGGTCAGGCCAACAAATCCGGAGACAAGTGCCATTGAAAAGATGGCCACGCAGGAAGAGGAGGGGGCATGCTATGCCACAGGAGTGGGGACACACGGGGAAGCCTTGTGGCTGGTCAGGGACAGAAGGAGCCAGAAGTATGGGCAAGAGCCTCTCTGTGGTTTCTGCAGGAAGGAGTGGGTGAGGCAGAGTAAGCAGGTTTAGGATTGGCTAGTTTAAATAATTTCAGCAGGCTCTGGGGCATAGGACTTTCTGTCCTTAGTTGTCCTATACCAGTTCTGGGATAATTAGGGAGGGAGGATGGCCCAGAGGCTGGAGATCCCAATAAAGTGGATGGTTGGGGTGTGGGCTTCTGGGTTGGTTGGCTTGTATGTGAAAGGCAAGGAAGCTTGAAAACTGCTCTCTCTAGGAGCTGGCTAAGCCTGGAAGGGGCAGTCCCTCCAGAGTCAGCAAGACCCCAGAGATCAAAGCAAGAGAGACACGCGGTTAATACACTCAACACTGATGCGTTTGAGCATTCAGTCACACTTCTCAGTCTTCTCTGGCAGAAGTACTTATAGATGTTGAAATAGGAAATGGGCGATTAGTGAACGGGGGGTGGGGGGGGTGGAAGGAGAGGCAAGGATAATTGTCAAGACAGGAAATCAACAGTGGAGTTCCAGCCAGACGGTGCGTTCTAGAGTGACCCTTGTTGCTTCCAGCCAGACTGCCGCGCTGGAGCCAGTAGCAGTCTACCAGCTGGGTGTCTCGATGGTCTCATTTGTAAAATGTGGATCCAAAGAACATATGCCTGGTGTTGTGAGGATCCCGAGTTTTAATAGCTGTCTGACCTTGGAATGGCACTGCCACGTGGCCAATGCCCAGCGGCCTCCCAGGCCCCTGCTCCTCTAGCTGTGGTCTTCAGATGGCAGCATCAGCTTTGCCTGGGAGCTTGTCTGAAAATGCAGCATCTCACGTCTCCCCTAGACCTCCTGGGTGTCAGTCCACACTCAACCAGGACCCCCAGCTGATCTGCGTGCATGTTCCAGTCTGTGCCTGAGAATGCGTGTTCCTGGAGGAGATGAATTTTACCTCAAATATCTATTTCCACCAGCCTGCCCTAGTGCCTTGCACATAATAGTAGCATCTACACTTGTATGCTGAAGAAATATTATTTATTTGTACCCCTCCCACTCTCCCCTCTCATACTTTTCTTTTTTGGAAAAAGGATGATGATGTGAAACACCTGGATTCTAATTGCTTGTACTGATTGCCTGGGTTTTCATTGACTGTGTTATGTGTATCTGGCGTGTTGGTAAACTGGCTCTATTAAGAAAAGGCAAAAGCTCTGATTTGTAGCATCTGCCAATATGCTGGTGAAGATACTCCCACCCCATTTCAAGCTGCCATCATGATGTTCTGGAAAGCAGAATTGAAAAGACAGGCCCTTAGTTGGCTCTCTTTAGCTGGTAGGAGATGGGTCTCCTGTGTACTCTTTCTCTCTTTATTGATTGATTGATTCATTCAGTGATTGCTTCTTTCATTGGACAGATTAATATTGGGTACCTACCTCATGCCCAGGCCCTACGTAAGTGGAGGAAAAACAGACATTATACTTTTTGGAGCCCTCAGTTTCCTCATCTAAAATGCACATTGATGTTAGGCATGGTAGAAATTGTTATTTTAACTCTGTAGCACTTTATAAACATACGGGATTCTTATCATCTTTTAACAGTGAAACTAAGACTTGCCAGGCTCTTATACACATCGAAGACCCCACATGCTGCAGATCCCACATGTCTGTTTATAAATTGGGCCACGTCTTCATTTGAAGGCTTTATGGTCAGTCGGCTGCAGGGGATTAGGCAGGAAACAGGCTTTGGCTGAGAGGCAATAACAGACTGGCTCCCAAATCCCCCCACTAAAGTGACCCGGATAAGCCAAGCCAACTGGCCTCATGGTGGTATTTGCAGGCCCAGCCGCCCCCACCTGCAGCCTGCAAGTAAACAAAGTTTTTCCCAAGAAGGAGGAAAGGGAACATGCAGGTGTGACCTGCTTCTTTCTGCGTCTTCCTCCATCTGCTCGGTCTGGAGCAGTGGGAACTTGGCTTGGCCTCGTGCAAATCATTCCAGCAGCGGTGCTGGCGGGGGAAGCTGGCTGAGTGAGTATCCATGTGTTTCTGTTTTGCACGCTTCCTCTGGCGGGATCCACTCGCCTTACTTTCCCAGCCCTCTCACTACACACCTTAAGAAACCAAGGTTGTGGGTGGATTGATTTAAGAGCTGGAGACTCAAGCCAGATGGCTCCATTCCGACCCTGGCGAAGGAGCAGCTGTGACAGCGGCAGGGTTCAAACCCGTGTGGCCCCAACTCCAGTCGCCTCCCTGGGCTCATAAAGCACCGCTGCAATGGAAAATCTCCATAGCGATTGTTCTGCTCTGCTGGAAAACGTGCTCCTTGTGATTGGAGAAAAGAGGGAGGATTTGCACCAGGTGGAATATTCAGGCTGGTGATACGAAAAAATAGGAATTCAGCTGAGCTTCTAGATGATTTCTGGGCCCCCTTCTCTCCAAAGCAGTTCTTTAGGTTACTTTAATTGAAGAAGTAATACATGATCATTGTAAGAATAGATTCCAATAGTACAAAAGGGTATACAATGAAAGAAAGTTCTCTTTCCCACCCCAGATTCCCCTCCTTCCCGGGGACATCCACTGTTACTAGTTTCTCATATATCCTTTTAGAAATATCCCTTGTAAAAAAGAACATAGATATGTAGTCAAATGCTTTGTAATCCTATTTGGGCCCCCGACCCCTTTGAGAATTGGGCAGAAGGTATGGATACTTATAAACTACTCCAATAAAAAGACATGGGATGCCATCTCATGGGGATTGCAAGTGTCCAGACCCCCCAGGCCTGCCTCAGAGTAGGGACCCATCCTCTAAATGTGCACACAACCTCTTCCATGCACAAATGCTTTGCAAGCTAGCACAGGGCATGCATGTAAAGAGTGATGATTATTTGTGAAGAAATCTAGACAATGCCAGGCCGAAGTGTCTCTAAGCCTATGAATTCTGGAAAACACGTGTGTGTGTGTGTGTGTGTGTGTGTATCTATGTGCATGTGTGTGTATCAGTAGCAGGGGTACTTGATTGGTAAGTTATTTTTTAAAAAATTCTTATTAAAATTATCATTATATATAACTAATACAGGTTTAGTGTTCAACATTCAAATCATACAGGAATGTGTACACTTAAAAAAGTGAAAGTTCTTTATACTGTCCCACCCTTCCACCCAATCCCATTCCCCAACTGTAATCACCGTTGGGGGTGTGCATCATTGTCTGATATGTAGATTTCTTTTTATCCAAATGAGATTACCCTATGCATACAGTCCTGCAATTTTTTTCCAATTTAGCATTACGTTTTAGGTACTAATAGATCTAACTCCTTCTTTTAATGGTTGCAATAATATCTTATGTATTAATACTAATGTCTAGCAAGTTTAATTGTATAAAAAGTCTTTCAAAGGTATACAATAACTATCCATAGTGATCTATTTGATGGATCACCCCTATATCATAGCAGTCCTTTCCTCATTTAATTTTTTTTGCTTATTCTTACCTTGGCTGTGCTGATGCCTACATGGGACATTAGGAGACCTGGGGTCTGCCCCTGGCTCTAACATTAACTCACTAGGTGAGCTTGGGCAAATTGCTTTCCTAGGGGGCTTTTCCCCCCATCTGTAAAGGGAGAGTAGACCAGATCATCAAAAAGTTCCTTCGGTATGGGAAGCCCTGGGCTGCAGAGAGAATGAGCAGAGAGTCTCAGGAAGGTGGTGGCCGAGGGCAGAAAGAGGTGGCTCATCATACCCATAAGAAGTGGCGTGTCCTTTCCCCATCTGGATACCTTGCCTTCTCTCTGCAGAACAGATAATCAGTGCCACCTCTGTGCCAGTCACTGTGCGGATTAAGCCCTCAGAGAGCAACACCACTAAGTTATGACAAGTTTAAATTCTGGAGTTAGACAGATCCTGGTTTAAATTAAAACCTGACAGGATACTTCAGTTCTCTGGCCTCAGTCTTCTCACCTGTAAAATGGAGACAGCAATATCGACGTCATTGGTGGATTTACATTAGGTGACGGGTGCAAGCTCCTTGACAGCAGGGGCTTCGTTTTGATCATGCCATAGCTCCAGTGCCTACAACAGCTCCTGTCACACAGTAGGTTCTCAATGCAGGTGTGTTGAATGTGGAATAAAACGCTTTGCACCTTGCTCTATGTATGGTACATGCTCAGTGACTGTTAGCTGTTGTTTTCATATGTTGCTTTGGTTATTAGTAAGCATTGCCTATCACTTGAGTCCATTATCATAGCAAGCCTGGAGATATAGGCAGTGTTAGTACATGACTGCCTACACAGCTAGCAGACCACAGAGCCAGACTTGGAATCCAGGTGTGTCTCATTCCTGAGCCTGTGCTCTCTACCTGTGCCCGGCCGCCCCAGCCCAGAGGGGCACATCGCCTGTGTGCCTCCTCTTCTCTCTTCTCTGCTGCCTTTGAAGTCCCCTGTGGCTCTGTTCATATGGATGCAGATTGAAGGGAAAGGGAAAGGAAAGACGGGTAGTGGGGTGGTTACCTCTTAGGGCAGCTCTGGGTATGTGGAAGTAAGATGTGACCCTTTGGGTTTAGCTCTGAATGGACAAGTTCCCAGGAAGCAGTTGAAGGATGCATTTGGGTGAGTCCGTTGGTTATTCAGGGGTTAAATGTGAATTGCCAGCTCACTGTCTGGCCTGGCCTGTTCTTCTGCACAGTTTTGTTTGTATCCAGCTCTCAAGGATAAGGACTAGGATGGAGAACAGAGGAGAAGAGCCTGTGAGGTCCCGGCCACCCAGCCTCCTGGGCTCCCCACTTGTGCTTTCTCCTGAGTTCTGCCTCTGCCCGTGCTAGCATTTAGTGAGTTAGATCAACCAAGGCTCCTAGAAGGATAAACAACTGGTGCGTGCCCAGGGAGGGCAGCTGGAGGACTTGGGGCGGGGGGTGGCAGGGGAGGGCCCCTGGAACTGTATTCTTAGAAATTCCTCTAGCAGTAAAGCTGGGGTTCACTCTAAAGTACTGGGGCTTGCGCCAGCCTCTCCTTCATCCCCAGGCAATCTGGGAGGACTGCAACTGTGACACACGGTGAATTATCAAAGGCCACAGGGAGGGGAGGGGAGGGGTGTGGCCACAGGATCCTGTTGATGGAAGGACCTTCAGTGTCCTTCTGAGCCTGCGTTTCTCAAACCGTAATCTGCCTGAAACAGCATCACTCGGGGCCTTGTGACAGCAAGTTCCTGCTGCAGTCTGTGAGCTCCTGAGTGTGGCTGTGCAGGGACTTACCCACAGGACTTGTCCACGGTGCACACACGCAGGCCTACAGCATCGGGTCTTTTAGGTTGGCCCCAGACATCTATATTTCTGATGCACTGTGGAATATTCTATTCGATGCCTCTGAGACCTCCAATCCTAGAGATCACTGACACCTAAGTTTTCACCTCCCTGCTGGAGGCAGACAGCACAGAGGTTAGTTCAAGCCATGGGGCCCCAGATTTCCCGTGAAAGCTTGTTATTTGATCTCTCTGAGCCTCAGTTTCTGGATTCATGAAATGGGACCTATGATGGTACCTACTTTATGACATTGACGTGGGAATGAAATAAGAATGACGTTTGCAAGCACAGTGCCTGGCATTCAGTTGGCTCTCAGTAAATGACAGCTGAGGATGAACAGTGGGCTGGATGCCTCCTCTGTCGTGTCTCCCAGGACCTGGGGTCTGACTTCAGACAGGCAGCTGGGTAGTGGTCAGTCACAGCTCAGAGGAGAGCTGCTGTCACCGTCACCGAGCCATCTGTAACTGGGGCTATCTTTCTGATCCACTCCATAGGGTCGTGTGACCAAGGCAGTGTGTAGGCAGGCTTAAGGCTGTGGGACTTGGGGTGAACCAGAATGCGTAGGTTCAAATCCTTACTCTCACTCTTACTCTTTTTGTGACTTTGGGCTGATTAATTAACCTTAACCTTGCCGAGCATTAGTTTTCCCAGTTTGTATGTCGGAGATAATATTCGTAAGGATCCTAGAAGCAGGTGTGAATAGTAAAATGTTTAGCACAGTGCCTGGTCCATAGTAGAGGCTCGGCAATCTATAGCCGCTGTGATTATTATTATTGTGCACCAGACTCGGGCTTGGTCTCTGTCTCATTTGGCCCAGAGGCTTGTTCAAAGGATGCCAGGTCAACTGCACCTTGTGGCACTACACTGGAACTTCCCCGATTCCTATATGGAACTTTCCACTCACTGGGTATGATCTCGGCAGCCACAACCTGGCGCACACAGAACCATGCGCTGGCTTGTGGTCACACCTTCTGTCTGTAGCCGTTCGGGGAGACTGAGGTGATGGGAGGGGTCTTGGACAGCTGGGATGAGATAACTTGGGAACAGGATACCTGCGGCAGCTCTCCCCTCTCCCCTTTCCTGTCTGGATTAGGGAGTGGATGTGACCCTTGCCCTTTGCCCCACTCCCATCCCCAGCTGTCCAGGGAGCTCCTTACATGTCCCGCCGGGGGGCTGGTTGGGTATAGCTGAGTCAGCCTGGGTGAGGTGGCCGGGAAGTCATCAGGCTCCCTGGCTCCGGAATGAGGTCAGCCAGGGATGGCATTCGGGAAGGGCTGCTGCTGATCAGGGCCTGGCACTGTCTTTCCTGAAAGCGTCACAGGCTCTTCCCAAAGGACAAACCATGGGCAGGGATCCCAAGGGGCTTGTGGTAGGGATGGAAGCCGAGACAGCCTAAGAGGGAGGCCCTGCCAAGTGACAGTGACAAAGACCCGGAGTTGGAGATCCCGTAGGTTCTGAGCTCTCTGGAGGGATGGGCACCTGCATGAGGTTTTGGAGCACATGAAATGCTTCCGGGGCTTCCTCCTACCCCAGAGCCTCGAGTACATTCCCTTGCTACCTTAGTCCTCTCACTGTGTCAAGGATGACAAATACCTGCTGCGAGGGCCTCTGCCCACCCTTTGTGACAGTAGCTAATAAGCGTGGCCTTCCTTCTCACTGAGGCTGGATAAGCCCATAGAAGTCTGGATGTGACGCTCTGTGCAGCTGCATCAGTCCATCAGGGTTAGCGGCATGAAACCTCTTTGTTCTCTCTGCTATCTGTTGTCATGACTGATCCCACGTATAGACTCTAAGCTTCTTGAGGGCAGGCACTTTGTCTGTCTCATTCACTGCTCATTCCCAGCAACTAGTACATTGCCTTGCACATAGCAGGAGTCCAGGAAATGTTTGTGCAGTGAGTGACAGTCTTCCAGTGGACTGTGAATTACTTGAGGACAAGGATTGTGTTTATATTGTGTCTGGGACAGAGTAAGGGCTCAAGGAGTGGAAGAATAAAATAGATGAAGACATCTTTATTTGGAGTTCAACGCTAGACTCTATAAGAGTAGGGAACAAAAATAGTAACACTTGCTTTGTTGTGGATGTCACTTCACCAAATAGCTGCGGCACTGACATGGGGCAGTTGGGACTAGTAGGCATGGCATCAGGGTTGCATCTAGCTTTGGTTTCCAAGCACAAGGACATTTTTCTTTCCATGTAATCATCCAAGAGTCCTGATAAGTTACTAAATTATTTCCACTTTGGGAATGAGGAGATGAGGCTCAGAAAGATTTAAAACGTTTGCCAGAGAGCATGTGACAATGGAGTGTTGGAGCTAAATGCAGAGCCTGGGGCTCCAACACCTGCAGGCCAGTGTTCTTTCTCCAGCCCCTGGACTGCTTTTTCTGAGTCTGTAGAGTTTCAGCCTGTTATTTGTCATATGCCATGTTTGGGTCTGGGAGGCTTTTTGGAATCCAAGTCCTACCGTCCTTTGTAAGTATTAAGTGTGCTGGGTACAGCCTTTTTAGAACCTTCTGAACCTCCCTAATCAGAGACTCTTCACCTGGATTCTGGGGATGAGCTTAAGGGGGTCCAAGTGCCCTGAGATTGTACACCACATTTCATATACATGTGTATTTCTTTGGAGAGGAGGTCTGAGCTTGCATTGGATTCTCATAAAGGGGCGCATGGTCCCATAGTAAGGTTAAAAGCCAGAGATCAAAACCAACTGTCATTTTGAAACTAAGACCTACGTAAGGGACTTTTCCAAGACCATAATCTTTGACCAGAGATTCTATTTCTCCTATCCACAGAGGACTGATAATGGTGAGCAGTAACCTCAGCTATGTCATCGAGCCCCTCCCTGACAGCGAGGGCCAGCACCTTCTTTACAGAGCTGAACATCTCAAGCTGCCCCCGGGGAACTGTGGGTTTGAGCACTCCAAGCCCACCACCAGGGACTGGGCCCTTCAGTTTACACAGCAGACCAAGAAACGACCTCGCAGGGTGAGTTGTGAGGCTCTCGGTGTGAGAATCAACCGAGGCACAGGCTTGTCTCCTCCGAGGACCCTTACTTTGAATCCAGGAATATCTCTTAATGGAAGGGCGATGGCTAATAAAGAGGAAATAGCTTTCTTCTTTCATTCTAAGTCATTACTGAGTGTGAGATACCCTCATAATAGAATAACTGCTTTTGGAGAAAACAATACTACATTTAAAATACTGTTAACAATACTACATGTAAAATACTGTAAAATGAGACACTGATTTCAGAAAGTTTAAAAGATTAAAAAAAAAAATAGTATGCCTCCCTATTGGAATAGCCATTTTGCCATATGCACAAATGCTTGTATTTAATGCTTGTATTTAAAAATTTCAGTATTTTCGTACTGAAAATAGAGGTTGTGGTTTCAAGCTTATTTAGGAACTTGATTGTCAGCTTGTTCCCGCACGGTATGTTGGCCTCTGTTCTCCTGTGCTGGTCAGCCCATCTCAGTAGTTTTTGAGAATGAAGGACTGGATCCCGCCCCTGTCCCAGAGCAGCCTCCAGGGACAGCTCAATAGCGGTGGATGGAAGGTGTTAGTGAGGGTGGTGGCCGCCACAGCCAGGACTGTGTCTAGTGCCCCAGGACAAAATGAGCATGGAGGCCCACTGTTCATTCACCAGCTCTGTTTCTTAGCCGTGTTTTTGAAATGAGGCCAAGCCCGCCCTTTCTACAGCCTGACCTGCTTCTGTCTCTTTCTCAGATGAAAAGGGAAGATTTACACTCCATGAAGTACGTGGAGCTTTACCTCGTGGCTGACTATGCGGAGGTAAGGGGGAGGCAGTGGGTTTTGCAGAAACACTGTTCTCTGGATAGCTTCCACGCCAGGCTTTGCACTGCTTTGGGGAAACGCTGGCACATTCATCCTTCTCTGGTTTATAATATGATTTTTACCTTAAGTCTGACCAAGAACTCTTTTTGCCATGTTGAACATCGATGGGAAGAAAAAAACTCATGAGGAAAAGCCTCTGATGGCATGATACATCAATTGGGTAGAAAGTCAGGAAAATTATCTGGATTGACATTTCTTGAATTAGATCTAAAGACCTTCAGGTTCTGATGTTTATCTTAGGGGATCCATGAATTGTCTACAGAAATTTAAAAACATTCTTTTTTTACAAAGATAATAAGTATATTTTCAATCATCTGATTGAATACCATTTTTTGCCCCCCCCACAATGTGGGTCCATTTTTGTAATCATGGAGGTGCCAAATGAGTACCTAAAGCCATTGTTCCCAAAATGTGGTCCTCAGACTGTGGCATCAGCAGCACTTGTGAACTTGTAAATTCTTGGGTCCTACCCCAGACCTACTGAGTCCTCCACTGTCAGGGTGAGATCCAGCAATCCATGTTTGACAAGACTTCTGAGTGATTCTGATGCACAGGCAAGTCTGAGAACTGCTGACCTAAAGGAACAGCATATTAACCTTCAACTCCATATTCCTCAAATTAGACAGGTTCTAAGATTTGATGAACATGGACCTGGCTCATCATACATTTCATATACTTATTCATCAACAATTTCGTGATTTTCTAGTATGTGCCAAGCACCAGATGATATAGCTGTCAAGAAGACAGACCCACCCTGGCATGGCAGAATTTATAGTAATAGCACAAAAACTCTACGTGTCCCATGTGTGCTAACTGCAGACTCTTGGGGAGGATCAGAGTGCAAGCAAAGGGGTCCAGCATGGTTTTGGGAATTCAGGAAAGCTTCTCTGAGGTGTAGATGTTGAAGCTGACACCTGAAGAATGGGTTCAGGCCCCAGAGCCCATATTTGCCTAAATTAGCCTGTTGTTACCTTCGATCCTCACTTTATGTAGTGACCAACCGTACAACTAAGCACATCTGCACACTGGATATCATGATGAGCTGAGCCCCCACTGTGTTCTAGCACCGTGCACGCTGGCCTTGGGACAACCCCACGACAGAGCTCATCACAACTCCAATCTGTCTGTACCCCACCCAAAGGGGCTAGTGGTCAGCTTCCCAAAAGGCCTCCTTGTAAAGTGGCTCTACCTCGTCACAATCCCGAAGCATGGGTCCCGGGGGCAGTGCCAGGTGCGGGAAGAACACTAGACTTCAGGCCAGGAGGCCTTCGGGTGTTTGTCACCGGATGTCAGTGACAGGAGGAGGTGGCCTTGGAACTAACTGTCTTAAAGGACAAGGAGGGGTTCACAAGGCAGAGAAGTGGAGGTGAAGGGCATTCCAAGCTGAGGGAACATTGTTTTCCACTTTGGGAAGATTTTAGCTTTTTAATTGATGTCCTTACTGGTTCTTCTAGCAGCCTGATATGTGTGTGTTTTCTGTGTTTTTTTCTTTCCTCTCCAAAGACAAGTTGCGAGTACAGGATGGGGCAGTGTCGTGGAGAACAGAGTCCGAAGCTGGGGTAGGAGCCAGCTCAGACTCGACAGTTGTGGGAGGAGGTGACCGACCCCGGTCCCTGCCCCTGCCCCGCAGGACTGCCCCTAGCGTGGGAGGGTTGCTGCAAGAAAGCTGGACTCCTCGGACCTGGGGACACTTTTCCGTTTAAGCTTTGCGTCTAAGATCATCTAATACAGTGGTCTTGAGACAGTTTTTTTTTCCAGCTACAGAATCCTTTATTTCGATAAAAGCTCCTGGGGACCGCAGTAGTTTAGCATATAGAAACCCAGATGCTCTGGTTTAAAAGCAGCGTATTTCTCCCCTTTGGCCTTGCACTGGCCCCAGAGGAATCTCTGTGCACGGCTGTAAAACCCACCGGCTTTGAGTCTCCAGCTGCTGCCAGAGAAGTGGGGGTCGGGGTTGGGAATCGGACACCTTCTGTCTCCTGACCTCCAGGGTCACAGCAAGCTCCAGAGGAAAAGTGTCTGCTCAAGGTGCCTCCAGGCCTGCTACAGAGGAGGGAGGGGGAGAGAAGGGAGCGACTTCAGCAATGGCCCTGGGCTCTCAATGCAGCCGAGCAATGTGCTCATTTCTCAGGGTTCTGGGTCCCCAGACCTGAAGGCTCTGAGTGGTTTGTGTGAGGGGGTGAGCAGGGGTGTCATAGGCCGGACTGAGTCCCCCGGCTCACCCCATCACCCACTCCCCACCTCCCTTACCCCGTCTCCCGCTCATCCTCTGCAGGCAGAAATGTATTTCTGACAATCAATTCATCTGAGAGGACGGGAACACAGGGAAGGGGAGGGCTGCCTTAGTAGCGGTGATTTACAACCAGGTGCTGAGACAGGACAGCCTCTGGCTCTGGCCTCCGACCTCAGAGCAGGGAGCAGGGACGCAGCTGCTGCCTAGAGAGAGTTGCCGGCCATAAAAAAAAACAAAAAAAACGAGCAGGCAGCTCCTCACACGCTGGGCCTGGGTGGGGGCTCCTGGGGTGGTTCTCAGCCTATTCATTCCCCAGATGGAACAGGATGCAAGGGGAACGAAGAGTAAGGTGGGATGTTGTAGGAGGGGACAGGATAGCTATAAACACAGACCTGTAAAGGACTTCCATGAGGCCAGCAGCATGTGGGGTAGCCGGGAGAGAATGGCGCTGCACCACGTTGTACTTCCTGTGCCACCCTAGGAAATGTAAGGTCGAGATATTCTTTTCTCTAGTCTTGGGGTCTGTAAACCACAGCCCTTGGCCAGGTCCAGCCCACACGTGCTTTTGCAGACAGTTTTGCTGGAACACGGCCACGCCCATGGTTTGTGTATTGTCCGTGGCCGCTTCCCGGCTGTTGTGGCAGAGACGACATGGCCCACAAAACCTAGAATATTTACTCTCTGGCCTTTGCAGAGGAGGTTTGCTGACTCTAACTTCAGAGTATTCTGGACAAGAGGATACACTGCTTAAATTATGGTGGCCTAGTTGGGCAATTGTTTAAAGATAGGATTAACAAATTTGAAAGACAATAAAATTCGACCCTGATGTTCTAGTAAATATTTGCTAAATGAATGGACATGCCGCAGCACTTTGCTGTGGGACTGATTTAGAAATGGGAACGTTCTGGATTAATGCCTTGGAAAGGTGTGAGTCACAGGGTGTCACACTGAATTTAACTTTAGAAAGCAGCGGTGACGATGAAATTCTCTTCTGGTGAGTGACAATTCTGGGGAAACCTAGGAATGTCCAAAAGCAGTGGGGGAAAGGGAAAAATGGTGAATTTCTTCCCTGTGTTGGACACACCCCCGGCCAAACAAATACCCCAGGGTGTTTTTATTTGGGATGTTCTTTTTGTTTCTTGCTGAGATGTTCTTGTGGGATGGGGTGGAAGAAGGAAGTAGAGGTTTGCAAATTGAAGGAACATGTATAATGGGTAAATTAAAGAGGTACCCAGATTCCAGGTAACAATGGCAGTTTACAAGACATGCCCATCATCTGCAAATTTAATGTGCAACTGCAGCAAATTGTCTCTCTACACTGTGAAGCTCTCCTTCATCGTTGTAGCTGCAAGAGATCTGTCCCTTAGGGAGGGATATAAGTATGAGGCATCCACGCTGAAATGTCCTGTTCGTGGTACCCATGCGGGCATCTCTCATGGAGCACAGCTTTTGTTCCTGTGCTTTATTAGAAATGTCTGATTTCTGTCTGATGCAGTCTCAGAATTCTCACTGTGGATGGCACTGCCATGTGCGAGACAGCGTCTTTGCCAATGTCTCACAGTCCTCCTTACCAGCACCCATCCTGTGTCATTCATGTGGCCTCGCATTTTTGTGGTTATCTCTGTGCATGTTTTCTCAGCCCCGTTTCAACTGTATGCTCCTTAAATACAGGATCTGCCATTGCAGTTATTTCTGGTCCTCTCTCTGTTTTGATTGAAGCTCCTCTAGGCTGGGGCCAAGATCTCACACTTCTTTGTGTCCTACTTACTGCTGAGCACAGTGCCTTGCAACAGTCTGACCAGCGTTGATTGGCCACCTACAGGGAAGCCTCATGAGATCTGTGTGATGGTGGCTTCAGGTTGGGGTGATGACCAAGGCAAAGATTGGATCAGTCCCTCTTCCCCTCTTCTAAGCCCCAATGGGAGTTTACCAGACGCTTGTGATTCAGAGGGTGGAGAATAAGATTTATTTCAATGGTTAGAGGAAGACAATTCAATTCATTATGTAGTTACTGCATGTCTGCTATATGCCCTGCACTGAGCTAGTAGCTAGGGATATGAAGATGGATGTGACTAGGTCCTGCCCTTCACAAGCTGTCACTTTGGCTGGGAAGACAGTTGCATAAATTTGACTGCTCACAGAAAACAGAAATAAATAAGAACACGTGCAAAGACAAGTAATGGGGCATAGGAAGGGTCCTAGGAGAGGTTCTGGGATCTCACCTGGTTCTGTCTGTCCCGTTTAGTTTCAGAAGAATCGACGAGACCCGGATGCCACCAAACACAAGCTCATGGAGATCGCCAACTATGTTGATAAGGTGAGACCAGGTGTGTACTTCCTGGGAAAGGTGCCCAGTACCAGTGCCTCGGAGGGGCCACAGGGCAGGAGACCATGTGGCACCTGAGCTGCCTTCTGCTGCATTGGCCACCTCAGCCAGCTTCTGAAGCAGAATGAGTGAGTCCATAGAGGCTCAGAGTGGTCATGACAAAGTCCCGAACTATGTAACCCTGGGCAAGGAACTCATTTTCCTTGGGCTGCAGATTTTTTGTTTTGTTTTGTTTGGAATTTGTAAAATACAGGGGTTGTCCTAAATCAATGGCTTTTTGTTATTTTTATTTTATGGTGGAGTCCTGTTACTTTTTAAATGAAACCTTATGTTAATGTCTAGTATAAAAAGTCAGATGAAAATAGACTGCTCTAAGCTGAAGCAGAGGTTTGGACCAGAGCACTGTCCTTCTGACCCCCTCTCACCCCTGCCGTGCCTCCTGAGGAACCTGGGGCATGGAAGAGCCCGGTTTAAGAATTTTTAAGGTTCCTTCCAGGTATAATAAAGCCTGCGAATTCTCAGATTTAGGGTGGAATTGAGGTAGGTCAGGGGAGGAAAATTGCACAGCCTTAAACATTGGGAATTGGGTTGTTTGGGGCCAGTCTGTAAAGTTTCCATCTGTAAAGCTATCCTAAAATTATTTCTTGTCTCTTAATAAGGGTGTATGAATGGTTAACTTTCCCAGGTCAGGAACTATTTCAACATGCTCTTATGAAATATCCACATTTTTGAATTTTACTAGAACAGACTGGTCTGGGACTTAGAAATAACTTTGTATGTTTGAAAGAAGATATTGGTTATAGTAGAAACTGCAAAATAGGTAACCTACAGTGACAGTAGCCTCTTGGCAGGCCAGTAGTGTATAGTTTTAAAAAATAGATTTTAATGTGTTTGGGATCACAAGTCTTCTTTGAGAATCTGATAACATTTATTATACAATTTTAGGACACTCCTGAAACTTCTCAAGCTTAATTCTGGGCCTGCTAGGGATTCATGACTCCCACGTCTAAAGAGGAAACCATTTTTTTTTTTCCCTAAATGCTAGAGGATAAAGAAAAGAACCTAAAATATTTTTTAGTGATGAAAAAGCAAATTTAGTAGTGTTCTGAATTCATAAGAGGGCGGTTTCTATGCCCCATGTTTTTGTTCTGCTCTAGATGTCTATGGAAACACAGATCAGTGGTCAGTGGCAGGTGAAAGTCAAAACACTGTCATTTCCTGGAAAGAAGGACCCTGGGGATACAGTCCTCTCTCTAGCTCCCAACTCCCTCAACAATAACATTTCTGTAGTCCTACAACCCAAACACTCGACATCTGGGAAAACAAGGAGAGCTTATTTTCCTGGGGGCAATACAGGAGGTGGACCCTGCTCTCACCCACGTGACATCTATTGTTCGTTCGGTACCTGGCAGGAGGGGGACTTGGCTGGGGCTGCTCTTTGTGAACTCTCCAACTGGGCTTATGGAAATTGCAGGGACACCAGCGGCAGCAGCAGCAGCAGCAAGTCCTGGTCCTTAGTCGAAGCCCCAGGCCTGGCTGGCTGGTCCCTTCTGTGAAAGTCTTGGTTCTCTCTGCAGTCACTCCTGGCTGGGGGGAGAGAGAAGGCACGGCCGCCTCTTCGAAGCTTGCTGACCCAGCTACTTGAACTGAACTGTGGTTGAACTAGAACTGGAATGAACTGTACTAATTTGCTGAATCATGAACCCACTCCGAAATGTTTTTCCTTAACTGTGAAAAAGCCACGTTGACTTCCTTAAAAGCCAAATTCCCTCCTAAAGCAAATTCAAACTGGAATCCAAACCCTTTATTTTCTCTAATGATTGACCTTGCACTGAACAGAAAAATCAGAATTTCCATTGAAGTAAACTACTATTACATGAAGCTGGAGCCTGTCTTAGACTCCCATTTCTTGGGGGCCAGTCGATTGATTATCTGGATTATATTATTATGTGTAAGTACTGCAGCACTTAAGCAGTATAGGGTCACGAGCAGGCTCTGAGATCATAATTTGGGCCTTCATCCTGGCTACACTATCTTCCTACTGAGATTTCAGTCGAGTTCTTTGCCTTCTCTAAGCCTCAGTGCTTAGTACATAGAAAGCTCTTGATAAACATTGGTGCTACGTTTATTATTTTTAGCTGGGCAGTACCTGCCAATTCTGGATTAACATGGTATCTCCTGCTCATATGATCTCTCCATACATGGGACTTTTTTTAAGTCACTGGCTCAGTAGTCTTCTCTAGGGTAGACCCATCAGAGAACCCCTTGTACCCACACCTTCCAGTGGGTTTAGCTTTAAACAAAACCCTCCTCCTGCTTATGCTTGTATGAGCTGAAAGATGGTCATAAGGGTTAGATGTAGCTCTAGCCTTAAGGAGGTTGAGAGTTCAGGCCTTACTTGTAGAACTTCAGGATCTTTGGGTTGAACAAAAAACCCTGAAGATTATCAAGGACCTTTTGTAGGCTGGTGCTTGCAAATTGTTCATGGTATCCTTGACAAAACCAGAACCCCTCTAGGGAAGGGAAGGAAACTCTTGAGAATAAGCATGTGTATCCACTTGTATATCACTTATGCTCATTTACTTCCAAAATGAGCGGGACACATTTTACAATAAAATATCCACATATAATTTGGTACATCCATACGATGAAATATTATTCCACAATAAAAAGGAATAACAAAGGCTGGGCGCAGTAGCTCACTCCTGTAATCCTAGCACTTTGAGAGGCCGAGGTGGGAGGATTGCTTGAGCTCAGGAGTTTGAGACCAGCCTGAGCAAGAGTGAGACCTCGTCTCTACTATAAATAGAAAGAAATTAGCCAAACAACTAAAAATAGGAAAAATTAGCTGGGCATGGTAGCACGTGCCTGTAGTCCCAGCTACTTAGGAGGCTGAGGCAGCAGGATTGCTTGAGCCCAGGAGTTTGAGGTTGCTGTGAGCTAGGCTGACACCACGGCACTCTAGCCCAGGCAACAGAGTGAGACTCTGTCTCAAAAAAAAAAAAAAAAAAAAAGGAATGACAAACTGACACAGGCTACAACATGGATGAATCTCAAAGCCATTATGCCAAGTGACAGAGGCCAGACACAAAAGACTACATATTATGTGATTCTGTTTATAAAAAGATGTCCAGAAAAGGCAGATCTATGGAGACAGAAAGCAGATTAATGGTTGCCTGGGGCTGAGGGTGAGAATGAGAAGTCACTGTACGTGAACATGAGGGCTCTTACTAAGGTGATGAAAATATTCTCAAACCAGATTATGGTGATGGCTTCATAACTTCATAAATTTAGTAAAAAATACTGAGCCGTACAGGTACAATAGGCGGGTTTGATGGTATGTAAATTAGACCTCAATCTAGTTGTTTTAAAAAAAATCCATGTACAAGGTAATTTTTTAGATACTTATAAAAAAAGATATAGATACTTACAAAAAAAAAAAAAGACCAGGCCATGTAAGGAATTGGGAGAGGGAATTGTACCAGACAGCCAGGCCAAGGGCGCTTACTACAGAAGACAGCAAAGCTCAGCTCTGAGCTCACTCGGCACCAGCTTTGTTTGAAAGCTCTTTTCCTATTTGAAATGAAATTTATCTTCCTGTCTGTTTTATCTGTTGACCTAAGCCCTGCTTGAGAATCACCCAGAACCATGCTGGTCCCTTTTCCAGGCTGTGTACACGTTTGAAAGCAATTTTGTGTCCTATCCCAGTGTTCTCTAAGTGTAGTCACCACAGTTCTGCCACCAGAATGCCGTGCATCTCTCTCAGAATCTCATTGTCCCCTTCTGAAAAATGTCAGTGATTCCTGTTCCCTTATCCCCTTGGAGCCAGGGGCAAAGAGAAATCTGGCACCTGTGCTCAGAGCTCTCAGTCAAGCAAGGGGCTTTTACATCCCCAGTGGTGTTGACAGATGCTTTTCCGTGTGTCCTTTCAGTTTTACCGATCCTTGAACATCCGGATTGCTCTCGTGGGCTTGGAAGTGTGGACTCATGGCAACATGTGTGAAGTTTCAGAGAACCCGTACTCTACCCTCTGGTCGTTTCTTAGTTGGAGGCGCAAGCTGCTCGCCCAGAAGAACCATGACAACGCACAGCTAATCACGTAAGTAGTCTTTTTCCACGTGTGTTGCATTTAGCCTTATCAGCAGAGCCTCTGCCCACGGTGCGCATGCTCAGAGTCTGACCCTTTCTCTCCCCAGTGGTGAGCATTGGTTATGCTAAACCATCCCCGGTTCCTCGGTCCTGAGGATCAGGCATTTTTCACACGTTTGTTCTGTACCTAGCACACCCCGGAAAGTATCGAAAAGCCGAAGAGTCCTAGTGTTCCTAAAAAGTGTTTATAATCCATATGAGAAAATTAGACTTAGCGACCTAGTGATAATGTAGATCTTATAATTTAGAGATCCAGTGATCTCATAATCAGTCGAGTATCTGAAACAATTGAGTATGCATTTGGGATGTGACTATCTGTGGGTCACTGGCTACTTCAAAACAGATCTAAGGGGTTCATCTTGATCTTCTTGGCACTTTGTTCTCGTCCGTGAGCTAATCTCCCAGCACAGGTGCAAGGGAGGGGGTTCCTTGGGTTTCCTTCCACTTGGCTCCCAAGGAACGTAGGGCTGCGTTGCCTGAGATCGTCAAAGTGGCACACACTGCAGGGACTGGGTGCTTAGTGGGAGGGAGACCTTGAGTTGGGATTGTGCTGGATTTTCATCAGTCCCAGAGAAAAAAAAACAGACGTTGATGGGCGTCACGGTGGCAAATGACAGTCCCTTGGGGATGATTACTTGGTATGTATTAGTGTTTACTTCTAAAGGTACTTTGAGGCAGTTACAGCAAAAGGCACATAGACAATAGAACCATTTTTCTTTTGCCCCCTAATTATAGTTCCGAGTAACAATCATTTAAGCCTTGGTTTACCCTTTGAAAGAAACCAGGGAAAATAACTGTCCCAGAACCTGGGCTGTCAACAGTTACTTCAGGACGGTACATTCATCTAAGAAGAGTCTTTGGCTACTAACTCTCTCGGCCTGAACTTTGGAAGTGTGGTGTCTTGATTTGGGCCAGACCTTGAAGCTCAGTCTCCGGTAGGACTTCCTCAGAGCCTGGTCTAAGTTTAGAAAATAACCAGCCGGGCTTCCTATGGATTTGCATATATTTTGCATATTTCTTTGCAGATTGCTTCTGCGAAGATACGTCTGCCTTTAATTCAGCAAACATTTATTATGCACCTGCTGTGTGTCAGATTCTGTGCCAGGTTCTAGTGATCCCAAAATAAATAAGATGGTCTCACTCTCAATGCTATCATGGTCTAGAAAAGAAGACTAACATGGAGATGGAGATAAGTATCATGGAACACATCTCCATATAGATCCTTTAAATGGATCACATGCTTGTGGCATGAACAAAAACACTGGTATTTCATTTATTCCTTCTCCCCTACCCTGGATGTGTATAGCTGAGGGAGGGATGGTTAACCTGGGGAAAATGTCACTTGCTGTTGGCAGACAAGGATCACAGTTGCAGAACAAAGGCAGAACAGCTCATCCTTTGTGCCCTGCCAGGACACAGCTGTTTCCCTGGGCCCAGAGTGATGTGGGAACAGAGCACCAGCCCCACAGCTGCTGCCCCAGTTTCCCTACCTCCACCCCTGGGACACACACTGCAGAGCCCGGGTCCCTGGCAGCTGGGGGAAGTGGGCCTGATTCACTTCAGCATCAGAAACCCGTGCCACCCTCCCTGCGACCTCCGCTCTGACCTTTTCCTGTGCGGCGGGAATGGGATGCAGTTTTGCAAGCCCTGCCCGTTTCCTTCCGGAGCATTGGCTATGGGCATATTGTGGGGAAAGGTGACCTTTTGCTCTTTCTTTCTGTTTCCCTGGAGCAGTGAGGGAGTAGGTGAGAGGAAGTGAGAGGTGTGGCAACCTGGAACTTGTCCATTTGGCCCCATTCCCTTGGGAATGACCTGGGAATGTCAGCAGGGCCGAGGAACATCAGGATGGCCACCTGGTCTCGGGCACACTGGAACCTGAGTCGCCCTCTGTCCTTTCCTCCTGCAGGGGCATGTCCTTCCATGGCACCACCATCGGCCTGGCCCCCCTCATGGCCATGTGCTCCGTGTACCAATCTGGAGGAGTCAACATGGTGAGTCCCAGCCAGTATGTCGGTTCTGCAGAAAGCCTTGAGCATCAGGAAGTGCAGTTGTTTAAAATGAAGTCACTAAGAGGTGGACGTACCCGAGGGTGAATTTTCATTTATTGTAGTTTATTGTAGTTTTTCCTGATTTTCAAGCTCAGGAGAACCCTGAAGCGATTACATGAATACATCACTAGATCTCTCATATGTTCCAAACCAGGGGCTGGGGCACAGTAAGAGAATAGAAATTAAAAGTGTTTTTAGGGCCGGGCCCAGTGGCTTATGCCTATAATCCCAGCACTCTGGGAGGCTGAAGCATGAGAACTGCTTAAGGCTAGGAGTTTGAGACCAACCTGGGCAACATAGCAAGACCCCTAAATAGAAAAGTTAGCTTAGGCATGGTGGTACATGCCTGTGTGTGGTACATGCCTTCCTAGCTACTAGGAAGGCTAATACAGGAGGATCTCTTGAGCCCAGGAGTTTGAAGTTGCAGTGAGCTATGATGACGCCATTGCACTCTAGCCCAGACAACGGAGTGAGACCCTGTCTCAAAAAAAAAAAAAAAAAAAAAGTGTTTTTATTCCAGGTCTCACGTTGTTACATATGTCATTATGAAACAAGAGCCTGTCTCAAAGTCATGATTAGGAAATTACTACCTTCCTTTGAAATTCACTCTGACTTTATGAGAGTGTTTAGACTATTCATTTCTAACCTTTGAATGGGATATCAAGGAAGCATGCTATGCATTTATTTATCCACCCCTCCATCAATTTTGTATTTATTGACAAAATAATATAAAGGTTAAAAACCACAGGCCCTAGAATCAGAACCTATAGTATTCAAAGAGCAGTTATGTGACTTTGAGCAAGTTAATGAGTATCTTCAATTATAAAATAGAGATAATTTTACAGTTTATAATTTTAGGATAAGAATGGGAATTAAGTGAAATAATGCAAGAAACACACATATGTGTTCAGTAAATCTCTTTTTGCTGCTTCTCTTCTGCTGGGTTGTTTTTTGTGTGTTTTTTTTTTTTCCCGTCTTTTGCTTCTGATAATTACATATCTACACATCAGACACTTATGCCAGGTTCTATGCCTGGGATGTATCTGCCTTATGGGGCTCTCTTAGAAAACACTGAGCCAAGTGCATCCAATGTTTAAATCAAGGTGATATTTCCTATGTCAATTACCATATATGTTGTGTGTGTGTATGTATGTGTGTGTGTGTGTGTGTTAAGAGCAATAATGGGAAAAAAACCTTGTCTTTCATTTATTCAGAAAGCATTTATTGGTCTGGAAATTCATCAGTGAGTCAGAGGTGGTCTGCAACTTTTAAGTATTCAAGAAACATAAGCTTTAAAACATTTGATTTCCTAGTAATGACAGTGGCTTTAGACTTGCTGTCAGAGGCGTGTGTGGAGAGCCCCATGCTCAGGGACGGTGGAATCAGTGGCGACCGGCAAGGCTTGGCTAAGGAAAAGGTGGGCAAAGGGGGCAGAGGCGGAGCTGTCACCTTGACCTCTACTCTCTCTCTGAGCAGGACCACTCTGAGAATGCCATTGGCGTGGCTGCCACCATGGCCCACGAGATGGGCCACAACTTCGGCATGAGCCATGATTCTGCAGAGTGCTGCTCGGCCAGTGCGGCCGACGGTGGGTGCATCATGGCAGCTGCCACCGGGTGAGTCAAACAGGAGGGGACGTCGTGCCTGGCCAGCGTGACTCAGATGTTCCTCCCAGCTGGCCCCAGGGAGCCTCTGTCACACCTCTGCTGGGACCTTGGAGAGAAATGTGGTTTTTACAACAAAGAAATTGGAAGAGAACCAGGCGGGCAAGTGTGTGGAAGGAGCACTAGGTTTCCAGCAGGAGGTTTTGTGCTGGTGGAACCCTAGATATACTTAATTTCTGTCTTAGGGTCTTCGGCTGAAAAACTGGCCTGACCACAGGTGTCTTTTTTTTTACTTAATGAATTTTTGATGATGACCCATTTTAATAACAGCCACAATCCTTAATCCTTCCAGCCCAAGGGAGTTTGATCAGTGTTGTTACATGTTAGGCTTGATTGAGAGCTCTGATGTAACATCTAGAGCATGTTGAAGGAAGGGGACCATCCACACACCCCACAGGGACTCCCCCCCTTGGGGGGGGGACAAGAATAAGGCAGCTTCATTCCCCCAGGAATTATGACCGTTTTTAAAACCAGAGCCTTTGAAAGAGAATTATGGAGTTTCTTCAAAGGATTTATCTTCTCATGTCTGGACTCAGACAGTACAAATCACTGGGTAGGTATCCCTGGTGGAACCTTGTGTTCTTGTGCCCCAGACCATTAGGAACTGCTTATACTTCTTAGAGAATGGTGTTTCAACATCTCCAAGAGGAAATGCAGCTTTCTTGGAGCACCAGGGCCCAGTACTTTTTTATTACTTTTGGCTGTGACACAGAAAGGATGACATCGACATGCAGGATACATATTTATGGGTCATGTTCAAATCTCTGTGAGCTCATGGTTAAGTCTACCTCTTTCTCTCCCAATCTAAAAAGCATATCTGTAGACAAATGATTGAGAGTTAATATTAATCGCTACTCTGATTTATTTTTAAATTGTTTCCAAATTTTGATAATTTAATAATTATTAGTAACAACTTCCTTATAGCGTATCTTACCACTGAAGGAACTCTCCAGCGTATGCCCTTTGATTGATTTAGAGAGTGGGGAGCAGGATAACTCTCTCTTCATCGACCCAAATGGTGGTACTCTTTATTCTTCTCCCCAACGGTGGGAACCAGCAGGACCCAGAATGTCCCATACCTTTATGATAAAGAGCATGCATTTGTGAATTGGCTGGTTGAGTTTGGAGCAGCCTTTGCATCCCTAAAACTGAGACCAGATCACTGGCCCACAAAGAAATTAAACCCATGATCTTGGCCTTTTTTTGCTTGGTCCTCTGTCCCAACGGAATATCCGTCTGGTATCAGCTTCAGGAAAAGTTTGAGTCAGCTGATATTTTATTCAGTTCTAAGGCTCAAGAGACCTATTGTAACACACACACAACTCTTTACTTATTGTGACCCCCTCATGAAATGGACAGAAATTGCTACTCGTGATTCTCAAATACTTCCTCTGGGCAGAATGAGAAAAATAAAACATGGGATGGCTGATAGCTCATCATTAAAGATGAAAATTCTAAATTAATGTTTTGGTGAATGCATTAAGGGGGCTGAATGTATGGGCATGCAACTACAGGGGTCTGAGCCCAGGTGTAATCAGCCCCCATGGGTAGCAGGGTTGACAGCTGTCTGGCTGCTAAATGTTCCAACTTCCAACTAATTCCAATCTTGTCCTCTGCCAGGCACCCCTTTCCCAGAGTATTCAATGGATGCAACAGGAAGGAGCTGGACAGGTATCTGCAGTCAGGTGGTGGAATGTGTCTCTCCAACATGCCAGACACCAGGACTCTGTATGGAGGCCGGAGGTGTGGGAATGGCTACCTGGAAGATGGAGAAGAGTGTGACTGTGGAGAGGAAGAGGTGAGGGGCCACGCCAGTGCTAGCGGGAAGGGAAGACTGTGCATTGGTTCCAAAGCTCAGGATCAAAAGAGAATGCAATTGAAAGTTCCTTAGTCACAGGCATTTCCTGCACATGACTATCCAGGATCCCATGGCAAGAAAGATGTGGGCAGTAAGCCTTCCAGGTGGATTGTTCCCGCAGCTCTCCTGGTTTCTGGTTGGCTTTGTTTGTGTTCAAGATCAGTTCCTCTTGTGAGTGTCTGGTCTAACCAGAAGCCAGGACCATGTGGCCTGCTGGCTCTCTCCTCCCCAGTGGAGCTACAGATGCCTCCTTGGCCTCCAGCTGCACTGAGTTTATTCTGGAGGCCACATGGCCGGATATATGGACTGAAACATGGGTCTTATGAGGATGCTTAAAATAACTAGCTCGTGCTGTTTAGCCTGGAGAAGAGATGACTGAAAGGGGATGTAGGAAGCGCTGTCAAGTCTCGAAAGGGCAGTTAGGAGGAAGGAGGAGCAGGGCTGTTTGTATATAAGCTCTTTCCTTCCTTCCCATCTTCAAAGTGAGTGTGCAGGGCACACACACAGCAGAGCTCTGTCATTTTTAACGAATGCATAAGAGCTTACAAAAAGCAGAACTGGATCGTTTCAGCTCTAGTTTTTGAAGGATGATAATATGTACATTAACGCATGCATAACAATTTGGGATAGAATACATGAGTAGCAGTAAACTCTGAGGGTGAAACTGAGGCTCTGTCTATGGAAAAAATGATTTGACTTTATAAACTTTCTCTATGGTGTGATTTTTCTTTTTTTAACACCAGCATGTAACTTTCAGAATAAAATAAGAATTAGTTAAAGACACCCCAGCCCCACCCCAAGCTCAGAGATCAGCCCAGATCCTTTGGGAAGGAGGGAGTTGTAGTAGTGTGGAGGGCCCAGTGGGGCTGGGGAGCAGCCCGAGAGTGGACTTGGCCACTTGGCTTGTATTCCGAGCAGCTGCTCATTTGGCAGATCCTTGCTGGGTGTGGGCTACGGTGTCAGGTGCTCGGGACGAGGTGGATGGCAGAAACAGAGTTCCTGTCCTCGGGGAGCTGACAATCTACTGGGGGAAACACACATTGACCAAATAATTGCAGAACTATATAACTGCAGTCCATTGCAAGTGCCAGGAGAGCGAATAACATGGTGCTCTGGACAGATATAACGTGAGGAGGGAGCTGCCTTGCTTGGGCGGGAGGTGACCACGTGGCCCCTATCAGAAGGCCATGTTAGTAGCACAAGGGGGGAGACACATTTCAGGTACAGGAGGAGCCTGTGCCCGGAGGAGGGGAGAATTGTGTGGTAGAAGGGCAGGAGCCCAGGTCTGCCTGGAGCCTGGGAGGATGAGGGCTTAATGGGAGAAAAGTGTCTTTGTTCCTTCTCTTAGGGGAGACAGGTGGACAGGTGTCTGTCATCAGGCGGTGGGATGTGTCTCTCCAACCTGCTAGACCCTCGACCAGTTATGGTTATGATATGGTCAGTGACCATGGGATGGGCACCAGGCAGGTGTGTGCCTTGGCCAGCCACTGGGCTTCCCTGAGTTTTAGTGTCCCCATCTGTGGCATGGGGACAAGGCTGTGATGGAGGTATGTGTGGAGCCCCACACACAGTCAAAAAATGGTTTATGGATGACTGGCTTTTGAATATCATAGGAGGGTGACAAGGACCCTCATAGTCACTGGGGCATCTCATCATGGTTTTAAAATCTCAGGCTGTGGGGCAGGAAGGAAGAGAGGAGAGCAGGGAATCCCTAGAGACGGTCTGTTCTGCAAAGGTCCAATCCAGGGAGGGTTTAGGAAGAGCAGCAGATGGAGGAAGAAATCTGAGGAAGCAGGCTTGGGAGTGGACCTAAACTGTGCAGAGAGGTTGTTTCAGAACGCCCCTGCTCCCAGGGCCTCTTTTGATGGAATAATAAGGCCTGGGAGTATGGGGCAGGGACAGGAGAAACAAATCAGAATTGCCATATAATGTAACACTATGCTAAAAGTCATGTTTTAAAAGCATATGCAGGTGACAAGGAGAAATGTATATATTATGTTAAGTTAAAAACCATATGGTTACTATTATTTTGGAAAAGAAATATAAGTATATATTCATATAAATATATACATATGAGAAAATGCCTGGGAAAATAGTCACACTCAGAATGTAGCTGCGTCTAAATTGTGGTGTGACGATGATTGTGCATATATATTTTTTCTATGATAAATGCACGGTAGCTTAGCGATAAAGATATTACGTGATTTTTTTCGGGTAAAGAGTTCCCAGGGAGCTGGGTGGGGCTGGGGATGTGAGGGGTGGGGTGGAGAAAGCCCTCCTGTCCCAGCTATACCCACCTCCTCACCCCACCCCCTCTCCCCTGCCTCCCCAGGAATGCAACAACCCCTGCTGCAACGCTTCCAATTGCACCCTGAGAGCAGGCGCGGAGTGTGCCCACGGCTCCTGCTGCCACCAGTGTAAGGTAAGTGGGCCTGTCCCCCGCCTGGGGCTCTGACCTGTTGGCTGCTGGCTCTGCTGGACATGACGAGAATTCACCTCCTTCCTGAGAGACAGATGGCATCAGGGTTTCAGAAACTTGGAGCTGGAAAGATCCCTTGAACAAAGTTTGCCCTTCCTATACTGGGCGTCACTGAGTTCAAATCATTCCAGAGGGTAGTTGGTGCCTCCTTGGAGATGGTAGATTTTTGTTGTTGTTGTTTAAAAGAAGTGTCCAGGCAGGGCATGGTGGCTCATACCTGTAATCCTAGCACTCTGGGAGGCCAGTGCGGGAGGATCACTCAAGGTCAGGAGTTCAAGACCAGTCTGAGCAAGAGTGAGACCCCGTCTCTACTAAAAATAGAAATTATCTGCACAACTAAAAAAACCCTATATATATATATATAATTAGTTGGGCATGGTGGTACATGCCTGTAGTCCCAGCTACTCAGGAGTCTGAGGCAGAAGGATTGCGTGAGCCCAAGACTTTAAGGTTGCTGTGAGCTGGGCTGATGCCATGGCACTCTAGCCTGGGCAACAGAGTGAGATTCTGTCTCAAAAAAAAAAAAGGAAGTGTCCAGAGAGAGTAGACTTGATTTTATTTGAGCTCATAATAATAGTTATTATAATTTTGTTAACATTAATGGATCTCTTAGTAGATGCCAGGCACTGTGCTGAGAATTTTATGTTATCTCAGTCAGTCTTCACAAAAGCCCCATAAGATGTATGTATGCTGGCCAGGCACAGTGGCTCACACCTGTTGTCCTAGCACTCTGGGAGGCCGAAGTGGGAGAATCACTTGAGGTCAGGAGTTTAAGACCAGCCTGAGCAAGAACAAGACCCTGTCTATACTAAAAAAATAAAAAATAAAAAAATGAGGCAGACAACTAAAAATAGAAAAAATTAGCTGAGCATGGTGTCATGTGCTTGCAGTCCCAGCTACTTGAGAGGCTGAGGTAGGGGGATTGCTTGAGCTCAGGGGTTTGAGATTGCAGTGAGCTATGATGACACCACTGCACTCTACCCAGACAACAGAGTGAGACTCTGTCTCAAAAAAATAAATAAATAAATAAAAAGTATGTATGCTATTATCTCCATTTAAGGTGAGGAAACTGAGACTTACATAGGACAAGTGGCTTGTCCAGAATCAAGCAGTCAGGAAGGGACTGAAATCCACCTTCCCCTGACTCTGGAGCCCACATCCCTAACATTGAAGTGGGAGGTAAACAGTTTATTACTACTGGTGTTACTATAGGACTACAGTCTCTTATTCACAATTGTGAAATTCAGAAAGTTCTGAAAATTGAAAAAAAAATACATTTAGTGACCAAACTTGACCTGAATTGACATGAGACTTAACTATAGCCTTTTCTTTTTTTTTTTTTTTTTTTTTTTTGAGACAGAGTCTCACTTTGTTGCCCAGGCTAGAGTGAGTGCCATGGCATCAGCCTAGCTCACAGCAACATCAAACTCCTGGCTCAAGCAATCCTCCTGCCTCAGCCTCCCAAGTAGCTGGGACTACAGGCATGCGCCACCATGCCCGGCTAATTTTTTGTATATATATTAGTTGGCCAATTAATTTCTTTCTATTTATAGTAGAGACGGGGTCTCGCTCTTGCTCAGGCTGGTTTTGAACTCCTGACCTCGAGCAATCCGCCCGCCTCGGCCTCCCAGAGAGCTAGGATTACAGGCGTGAGCCACCGCGCCCGGCCTATAGCCTTTTCTTTAATCACACCTAAACTGAATATTTATATTTCATTGGAGAAATAATAATATATTTGATCATAAATTGTTATCCCAGGCCCTGATGGGTGGCTATGTAATATACATAAGTAATTATATATACACAGACATATGTACTTATATACACATACATAGGTACATATATTATATATATATGTATATACATATGTAATTATATGTGTATAACACATATACATGTGTACATATGTATTATAATATCTGCTTTCAACAATATGAAAAGTCTGAAATCCATCTGGCCCTGAGGTTTTAGATGGGACTTGTGGGCCTGTGCTTACCTCATTATGTGTTAGATACTGTTCAAGCCCTTTATTCTAACTCATGCTTTTTAATAACCCCATGAGAGGGTTCTTATCCCGAATTACGGTGAACAAAGACAAAGAGGTTAAGTAGCCCATGCCCAAGGCCCCACTGTGGGTTGAGGAGCTGGGATTTGAGGCTAGGCAGGCTGGCTCCAGGGTGGGGCCCCTTCGCCTCCATCTGGTCCTGGGTGGTAGAGGTGTGTCCTGCTGCTTCCTCTTGCATGCATCACCCCCACCCAGCCTTGCAACTGGGGGTCTACTCTTCCAGCAAGCCACTCAGCTGGCCCATTCTCAACCTGAGAGTGGCCAGCAAAGAAGCCTGTCTGCCTTTTCTCTTGGGAGTGCCTTGTGGGAGGTGTGGAGTGACCCAGGGGCAGGGGTGTGGGACCAAGTCCTCCCAGTCTTGGCCAAAGGCCTAAGGATAAGCATGAGTGTGACCAACTCACTCAGTCCAATGATTTCAGTTTGAACCTCAGAAAGGATTCCCTGGGGTCCGAGACCTTGACTTCAAGCCCTGGCTGTGTGATTGGGGCAGCCTCTTAACCATCTGAGACTAGTTTCCTGATCTGTAAAATAGGAAGAGTATTAGTAACATTAGCCATCCAGGGAAGCAGTAAGACTCAAGTGAAAAGGCAGTTTTCTCTATTTTTCCAAGGTGCATTATTTATCAGGTTATTTGATCTGCAAAGTGGGGCAAATAGCAGTGTCAATCTCATGGGTATTGTGAGGATCACATGAGATAAGACACTCAGCCCAGTGCCTGGCTTGATAATGGGGATGTATTATTGATAAGGAGCTTTGTAAATTCAAAAATGTTATACGAATGCCAGGTGTGTGTGTGTGCGTGCATGTACGTGTATTTGCATGTATATATTAATATTAGTGGGCCGGGCTCCTCTGCCACTTACTGTGAGACTTTGGGTATGTTGTCTAACCTCTGTCAGGCTCAGGTTTCATCATCTATAAAATATGGAAAATTATATTACATAGGACTATCATAAAAATGAAATGAAGTAATATTTGTACTGTGCATATAAGCAGTAACGGCATGAAAGTAGCTGGTATTACAAAGCATGTAGAAAACTATAAGTTGTTGCATAAATATTATTTCTTACCTACTTCTTAAGACTCCTATGAAGAGGAAAGGAGTTAGCATTTGTGAAAACACCTTGAAAACTCTAAGTCACTATTCATATGAGAAGGTTGATGATGGTTTGAACTAATGAGGTCATGTAAAAAGTACATGGGGATGGGTATATACAACCACAGTGAGTAAGATGTGCAACGTTTGGGGGATGGACATGCTTGAAGCTCTTACTCGAGGGGGGAGGGGGGCATGGGCAATATAAGTAACCTTAACACTTGTACACCCATAATACGTTAAAATATATATATATATATACAAAATTTTAAAAAGTACATGGAATGGAAAGAATGAAAATGGAAAATTCTGTTCCACAGGAGTGATACTTATGAGCTCTTAGCTGATAGGGTTGAAGGCAGGGAGGAAATTGACTCTTTATTTTCCTTTTTGTGCCTCTGCCCAGCTGCTGGCTCCTGGCACCCTGTGCCGCGAGCAGGCCCGACAGTGTGACCTCCCGGAGTTCTGCACAGGCAAGTCTCCCCACTGCCCCACCAACTTCTACCAGATGGACGGCACCCCCTGCGAGAGCGGCCAGGCCTACTGCTACAACGGCATGTGCCTCACCTACCAGGAGCAGTGCCAGCAGCTGTGGGGGCCCGGTAAGCGCAGCCCTCCTCCCGCCCCAGCACTTCCCAGCCAGCCTGCCTGTCAGGCCCCTGGGGTAGCGTAAAATCACAGCTTCAAAACAGCACCTCCAGATCCTACCTCCTTCATCCCCTGGGCTCAGGGTAGACATTCAGGGAGAGCCAGTGGACGGCATTCTTTCCAGTCCTTTGGTGCTTTTAATTCTCAAGGTAGGCAAACGGGTAAGAATAGTCCAAAGGAAAAATGAACATAGGATGGAGACATAAAAGCAAATGCAGGCCTGGCGCGATGGCTCACGCCTGTAATCATAGCACTCTGGGAGTCCGAGGCGGGAGGATTGCTCAAGGTCAGGAGTTCGAAACCAGCCTGAGCGAGACCCCGTCTCTACCAAAAATAGAAAGAAATTAATTGACCAGCTAAAAATATATATACAAAAAATTAGCCGGGCATGGTGGCCCATACCTGTAGTCCCAGGTACTCGGGAGGCTGAGGCAGTAGGATCACTTGAGCCCAGGAGTTTGAGGTTGCTGTGAGCTAGACTGATGCCATGTCACTCACTCTAGCCTGAGCAACAAAGTGAGACTGTCTAAAAAAAAAAAAAAAAAAAAAAAAAAAATTATAAAAAAAAACCAACAAAAAGCAAATGCAAATGGCCTTTAGGCTGTGAAACAATGTTTAACCTTAGTCATATCAAGGGAAAATAAATTATAGCCACTATGAGGTAGGGTTTATATATATATCAGATTGCAAAGACTGAAAGTTAATATAACAAGGATATTAATGTAGTGTTGTGGAGGGTATGAGGAAACAGGTATAACCTCTATTAAAAGTTATTTGGAGATAATCACAATTTTAAATGCACTTATTGGACCCATCAGTTCCACTGCTTAGAAATGTAGCTGATACTTGTCCTTGTGCATGTAAGTGAAGATACATTTACAGAGATGTTCACTGCACCATTGTTAGTTACAGCAACAAGCAACCTCTATGTCCTCAGTAGGAATAAATTAATCCACTGATTAATTCATCGCATGTACCATACGATGCAATGCTATGTAGCTGAATAAAAGCAGGCAGCTCTGCATTTACTAAATAAAATCATCTTCCACAATAAATTGAAACATGCAAGGTCTAGGACAATGAAGAGAATATGCTTTCTCTCTTTGTTAGATAGATAATCTCTAGAAGAAAACTGTATCTGAGAGATACAGAAGATAGAAATACGATTATCTCTAGAAAATACACTGTTATAATAAGTGCTGTTCGCCCATGATAGAGGGGAGTAGGAACTGGATGGCTATGAGAAGAGATTCCAAGGACATACTTTATATCTTTAAAATCGTGTGTGCATGTATTACCTATTTTTAAAAATCCTGAAATGGGACAGGGCTTCTTCGTTAGAGAGCAGGCATAGCATGGAAACCTCCATAGATATAAATGCTCAATAAGGCAGGAAGAACTGTTAGGAAACATTTTTCTAGAAATAGGTCTTGATGGGACTATGGAAATGGAAATAACCTGGTAGGAGTACAGGAACAAAAGGCTGAGTGTCCCCTCCCAACAAACATTCTTAACTTCATGATTTTACCAAGGGTAGCTTTGGGCAAGTATACTGATCGATGTTTCTTGCCCACCCAGGAGCCCGGCCCGCCCCTGATCTCTGCTTCGAGAAGGTGAATGTAGCAGGAGACACCTTTGGAAACTGTGGAAAGGACATGAATGGTGAACACAAGAAGTGCAACATGAGGTGAGGACCACAGGGCAGCCCCCATGAGGTGAGGGTGACAAAGCAATTCCTGCTTTGTCCTTCCCACTCCTGCCCAGCTCAGCAGCATGGCTGGCCCCAGAGCTGGGCCTTTAAATAAGTCAGTTGAAGCCAGTCGTCTGTTCTTAGCCTATAGTTGGTAATGCACCATTCAGCCCTAAGGAAGGGGGGGAGGGTGGCAATGCTTCCTAGAAAGCTGAGCAGGCTTCCTTTTGGAACCATCTTACAGTGGGGCAGGGAATCTGCCTTCTTGAATCATTTCTGCAAGGTGCTAATTATGCCCCCATCTGAATAGCCCATCATTTATTCATTCACTGATTCATTCAGTCATTTACTCATTCATTTATTCCAACCAACCATCTACCTAGCCACCTATTCATCTACCCACCCACCCACTCATCTGTCCATGCACCTACCCACTCATCTATCCATCTGTCCATTCACCTATCCATCCATCTACCCACCCACTCATCCATCCATTCATCTACACATCCATCCATGCATCCACTGTCTGTTGAGGGTATACCATGTGCAAGGTACTGTGCTGAGTGCTTGGAACTTTTAATTAACAATACATTGTGATAATGGGAATGTGGAGAGAGCCACCCAACCCAGCTTAATAGACGAGGATGGTTTCCCAAAGGAAGCTATACCTACAGTTATGCTGAGATCTGGAGCATTTATCTATGTGCGCAGGAGAGTGTTCTAGGCAGAGAAATGAGTAGAGAAAAACTAGCAGTTGGAAGAACTGGTCACAGTTTGGTACAGTTAAGGTATAATGTTGGGGGTGCCCTGGAGAGGGGCTGCTGAGAAATGAGCTTGGATAGTTAAGCAGGGACCAGATTTTAAAAAGCCTCCAATTCGTGGCTAGGGAAGTTGGGACTTTGGCCTGAGAGCAGTGTGGAAATCAGGCTCCCGCGGGGCAAGACTGGGGGCAGGGAAATCAGTGAGAGAGAATGGGGAGTCAGAGATGACCCCAGGCTTCTGGCTTCTTGGAGTTCCCTGGTAGATAGTGGTATGAAGAGCAAAAAGGGTCAGGCAGTTGTCCCTGAAGTAAGGACTTTCCCAGCCCAGTTCTCTGGCCCAGATCTGCTCAGGGACAAGGAGCCTGTTCCCTTCCCATGATCTCCGCCCACATGGAGTCCCTCCTGCTGGGTCCCTAAAACTCGCTGCCCTGACCTTTGCCCTACTGCAAACAAGCCTGTTGTCTTTTTAAGAAAGAGGGGAGCCCTGTGGGGCCCCAGCCTTTACCCTGCCTCTGACCACCTCTCTCCTTCCCTCCCTCTCTCTCTCGGGCCCAGAGATGCGAAGTGTGGCAAGATCCAGTGCCAGAGCTCCGAGGCCCGGCCCCTGGAGTCCAACGCGGTGCCCATCGACACAACCATCATCATGAACGGGAGGCAGATCCAGTGCCGGGGCACCCACGTCTACCGGGGGCCCGAGGAGGAGGGTGACATGCTGGACCCAGGCCTGGTGATGACCGGGACCAAGTGTGGCTACAACCACGTGAGTCCCTTCTCCCAGCCCATCTCAGGAGCCAGCTGCAGAGAGAAGTGATTGAGAAGTGTGAGCTCTGGAGGGAGGATGGCTGGGCTCACACTCCAGCCTCCCAACCCTGGGCCTCAGCCTAGGAACCCTGGGCTTCCTTTATGAAGCTTGTGTAGTGACAGCAAGCACCCATCCCATAGAATTGCTAGAAGAGTTAAGGAGATAATCCCTGTAAAGCACTTAGATGGGCTGGCTATTGCCATTTTCACTCTCATCATTAATTAGCGTATGAATTAAAACTGGACTAGGAGTCAGGAAAGCCTGAGGAAATTAATGTCAACTATCTCATAGAGTTAATTGTGATAATGAAATTATAAAAATATGAATTATAAAAATCACATATAGTACCTGGCACAGAGTAGACTACTGTCACCATCATTATTTTTAAGTATAATATTAAAATTAGTACATATTAATAGACAGGTAATTAATATAATCCACATAAAAGTAATATATAATGTAATAACACATTTAATATTATATTGTTAAATATAATATTTTAACAGAATAAATAGTTATTGTTTTCTCCCTGATCTCAAAAGTAATAGCAGAATTTAGTTAACTGCTGTCCTGTCCTTGGCTTCTTAGGTTGCTTTCCATTTTCCTCTGTAATAAATGACCTTTTGGGCCCGTTTATGTTCTAAGTACAAAACCGGGTCTCCTAATTCCCAACCGGCGCCCCTTCCCGTGTACTGATGATGATTCCGCTCTCTCCGCGCCGCAGATTTGCTTCGAGGGGCAGTGCAGGAACACCTCCTTCTTTGAGACCGAGGGCTGCGGGAAGAAGTGCCATGGCCACGGGGTGCGTGCGTGTGCGGGGCTCCTCGGCGCAGGGGTGGGGCGGGGGCGGGGCGGCCCTGCGGGCGGGCGCTGTCCGCGGTGCTGACGCCTCTGCCCCTCCCACGCTGCAGGTGTGCAACAACAACCAGAACTGCCACTGCCTGCCCGGCTGGGCCCCGCCCTTCTGCAACACGCCGGGCCACGGGGGCAGCGTGGACAGCGGGCCCATGCCCCCCGAGAGTGAGTGTCGGCCTGCGTGGCCCTGCCCGGCGCCGTGGGAGCGGGTGGCAGGTCGCTGAGCATCCACGTTGAGTCAGCTTCCTCGTCCTGATTTTCTAGGCGGAGAGGGGCGGAGCAGGAGGAGGGGCAGGAGGAGGGACCCAGCAGCCAGGCTTGGGGCGTGGCCCAATGGCCCTTTGTCCGCTCTACCTGAGGAGGGGAGCCTGCTTAGAGAGAGGTTAACACAGTCTGTGGATCACTGAGTGTTGAAATCTTTTGAGGGGTGGGACGGGAACTAGTCCTTTTTGGACACTTAAAAATAATCATGAACCTGGGGCACATTATGGTGGTTTAGATTTCCTCTGGTGAATAAAGGTTAAAATCAGGAACCAGATACTCAAAAAAGTTTTACAGTTGTTTTTTTTTTTTTATTTCAGCATATTACGGGGGTACAAATTTTATGGTTTCAAATGATGCCCTTGTACCCCCTACCCCCACAAGTCTGAGCTTTTTTTAGTGGAATTCTCATGGATGCCAGCCTTGTGGCTTCCAAACTTTTTTTTTTTTAAATAGTAGCTAAGTACTTTTTAAAAAAGAAAAAGAAAATCCCAAATCTTTCAGGGATGAAACCCCAATATATAAAATATATAAAAAGTAGTGTTTGTTTCATTGGAATACATATATTTTATCCATTAAAATTTTTAATTTGTGAGAACATGGAGGTAGTTTTGATAAAACCAAATGTGAAATTACGGATGATGGATGAGAGTTCTAGTCTTAAATCAGTCTCAGTATTCTACGGTAGTTGCCTTGTGTCCAGGAAAAGTATGATTCAGGCCGAAAACTAGTGGCGAATGAGAACAGAGCTTGACCTGCTTGCCTCTCTTCAATTCGTAAGGTCTGCTCAAAGCAAGTTGGCCTGGCTCTTGAAGCAAATATTAGTGGTTTCTCAGTGGTACACAGTGTGTGTGTTTTATTATAATTCGTCAGTTAAAGTGAGTAATACAAGTTAAATGCAAATCAAATATCTGAAGAAGAATCAGAAATACATTGTCAGAAATCCACTGCTATAGCCAGGATAGCTTCTAAATCTCCCACCTGGGTTCTGTTTCTGGAAGGTGCTGGTCCTGTGATAGCGGGAGTGTTCTCAGCCCTCTTTGTGCTGGCTGTCCTCATGCTGATGTTCTACTGCTGCAGACAAAACAACAAACTGGGCCAACTCAAGCCCTTGGCCCTGCCTTACAAGTTGAGGCAACAGTTCAGGTATGACGGGGTCCCAGGAGGGACTTGGGCCTCTACTTATGAATCATAAGGTTTTTTGTAAGAAGAAGCACCTAGACAAAGTGTTAGGGGTGCTGGGTCTAATTTAGGGAAGATAAATGCAAGATACACACACCATCCTCTCCCCGGCCGGGATGCTTTGTGACCGTGCCAGACATCACTAGTTGATCTTACTGCAAGTACTCACTACGGAGCCTGGTCATCACTCCAGAATCCTTCTCAGCAGATTACCCACGACCAATTCAGGTTGGAAAAAAAAAAAAAAAATCGATTTGCCATCCTTTAGCGAATTGATGTGTTCCGCATTTTAAAGAACAGGAAACTGAGATGACAGAAGGGATCACAGCTCAAGTCAGTCACAGGGGTGGCTGGACCTCAACTCAAGACAAAGACAAAGTCTTTTTTTAAAAAGTGATTCCTTCTTTTGGATATTGGATTTGTGTAGTCTCTGAACCCCCTAGTAAATTACACTTACTCTGGAGGGGATTATAAGTCCCAGGTCTTTCTGAATCTATGCCCAGGGGGACTGGTTGATGGCTGGTGACATCTTGTGTCTTCTTAGAGAGGAAAGGTCTTAAAAGGATGAAGGGAAGGTGCTGAGAAAACTCTGCTTTGTGTAAGGCCAGCTCTCTTGGGAGTTCTCCATTGGCCTCTCCATTGGCTACACACAAGTCTTTGGGAAGATGGGGTTTGGGAAGACCAATCCTACTTCCTCCAGAGCAGACTTTGGAAAGATTTAGCTGCTTGCTGGCTGTGATTGGGTAAAAGGGAACTCAATCACCGACTTTTGCTGAACATCTCCCTCTCCCATTCCTCATTACTAGCTGTCCCTTCAGGGTGTCTCAGAACAGCGGAACTGGTCACGCCAACCCAACTTTCAAGTTGCAGACACCGCAGGGCAAGCGAAAGGTAAGGGCTTTGTCCCTCGGACATTGTTACTGTTCTATTATCCTCAGAACCGCGCTGGATTTTCCTAAGAGCCTCTGTTGGCCTTTGGGACTGGTAATAAATGCCATTTTATTGGCTTGAGAGACATGTCAGTTTGTTCTGCTGTCCCCTAATGACTTTGAAGGTTGCATCTGACCTCTGGGATGCTAGGGGTTTAATGGGTCAGTATGTCTGTTCTCCCTTTGGGCTCTGGTCCTCTCAACGTGGCATGCAAGGGCAGCCCTGAGGTTTTAGTGCATTGAGATGTCCTTGTCTCAGACGTTCCTTGTCTTATGCATACAGGTGATCAACACTCCGGAAACCCTCCGGAAGCCCTCCCAGCCTCCTCCCCGACCCCCTCCAGACTATCTGCACGGCGGGTCTCCACCTGCGCCATTGCCAGCACACCTGAGCAGGGCTGCTAGGACCTCCCCAGGGCCCGGGGCTCAAGTAGAGAGAAGGGAGTCCTCCAGGAGGCCTCCCCCAAGCCGGCCAGTACCCCCTGCACCAAATTGCATCCTCTCCCAGGTAAGTGGATTCTCAGCAACCCTGGGCTGGGAGCATAGCTCTTAAGGCCACCTGCAATCTGCAATGTCAGTGGCTGGGAAAGTGGAACACAGTAACTGCTCTTCCTGTGTTCTGGTGACTACTGGGAGTAGGTGGTAGGTTAGAGCAATGAGCAGGAGGAAGTAGCCTCCCCAGGTAGCTCCTAAGCCACACGGCATTTCCTCCCTGGGTGACCTATTTCGGGACACACCATTAACCACCTTACCCCACCAAATTAAGTTCTTTCAGTTTCATGTTCTGTGTCCTCTAGGTCTTTGCACATGCTGTTGTCCTGCCTGACACGCTCCATCTGCCCCTGGTGTGCCAGCCCCTGTTCATCCTCATCCTCCCTCTTTCCAGGAAGCCTGCTCTGACCCCTCAGGTCTGAGTTTGGTGCCCTTGTACTTCTCGCATCATAGAACTTACCCCACCAACTTGTACCTGTCAGTATTTTGCAGTGATCAGAAGTCTTACTAAGGGAGGTACCTCAATGCCTTGATCATCTGATGGGCAGGGCAAGGGTGGGGGCCTCTGGGAGGTGAGAATGGGGCTCAGGCTCTCTGCCCCCACCCCTGCCCCCACCCCGCGGTCTGTGCTCTGATGGCTCCAACCACACCTTCTGGCAGAAGTTAACTTAAGTGCAGACACAGGTGTTTCCGGGGTGGTGGCTTGGTGTGGTGCCTTCTGGAACCCACCTGTGTGTTTTGGGTGCGACACCTCAAGTGAGACTGCTTTTCTTGGGCATGGTCCAAGGGCTGGCTCCACAGGGCCCAGGCTGATCCTAAGGATGTGGGGCTGGCTGCATCCTTTGGCGGGTCCCTAGGGTGGGGAGCAGTGGTGCGGGCTGGCAGAGCCGAGAGCATCAGCTTTGGTTCTGAACTTTGAAACTGCTACTGTCCCTTTCGCCTCGGGTGGGGCAGGGGTGGGATAGGAACCCTGTGGAGAGAGGGAAGAGGGGAATGATGGGCAGGGAGAGAGAGGGGAGACAGGGAAGAAGGGAGGAGGAGGGAGGAGGAGGGGAGAGGAGATAGAGTGTATTCGTGTTCGGGGGCCACCATGGCAAAGCACCGCACACTGGTGTCTTCAACAACAGACTGTTACCTTCTCACAGCCCTAGAGGCTGGAAGTCCAAGATCAAGGTGCTGGCAGGGCTGGATTCTCCTGAGGCCTCTCTGCTTAGTGTGCAGATGGCCACCTTCTGGCCGTGCCCTTGTGTGGCCTTTCCTTTCCTTTGTGCTCGTGCGTCCCTGTGTCTCTCTGTGTGTCCTAATTTCCTCTTCTTATAGGGACACCAGATTGTATTAGGGCCACCCTAATGGGCTTATTTTAATTCAGTCAACTTTGTGAAGGCCTTATCTCTAAATATGGTCAGATTCTGGGGTTGGGGCTTCAATGTGTGGATTTCTTTTCAAATTGTGGGGGATGCACAGTTACCCACACGGCAAGCTTGCTCAGAGAACATGGGGTTGGCCTCACCCCATGTCACACTGAGGCACAGAGCACCAGGGCTGGGTCAGAGTATCAGGGACAGGGGGAGAAACAGTGCAGCCCCCCGAGTGCTGCTGGCAGGCGGCCGTCCACCTGGTGGCAGGTGCCCCAAACTCCAGGTCCCTTGCACAGCTTTTCCTGGGCCCCTGGGCCCAGACAGGGGTTTCTCTGTGACAGGAAGGGGGAGGCCGCTGCTTGGAGTCGGGGGTGCAGGGACAAGATCAGGCCAGCCGCCTCCCTGCTCAAAGCCATTCTGAGAAGTGAGTTGTTGCTGCCCTCGTTTCTCACTGAGGCCGCTGAGTAGCAGGGCTGAAGGGACTCACCTGCCATTGCTCGGTCTGTGAGCGGAGGAATCAGGACTCGAACCCAGTGCTCAGGCAGCTGAGTGAGACACCCCGCTGCCCCAGGGATGCTCACAAGCTCTAGTCTACTGGCCAGAACACAGCAGCTCCACCGCCTGCCGGCTGGGGGTCGTACGGGTGGGGCTGGGGAGGATTTAGACCCCCTAGGGAGGTGGCGAGTGAAACTTGGTAAGCTCCTCTGCTCTTTTCACAAATGTGTATGAGCATCTGCTCTGCCAGGCAGCGGCGAGCTCAGCAGATGCCAGCTTTGCCACCTGGATCAGTTTTGCTGCAGAAGAGACTCTGGAATATACGTGTCCTTACTTCCAATGCAATAAGTGCTGTGAAGGAGAGATTCAGGGTGCTCAGAAGAGAATAACAGGGGCACTTGACCTAGTCTGGGAAATCCCGGAAGGCTTCCCTGAGGAGGTGACTTTGAGCTGAGATATGAAGGAGCAACATCCTATCTGTGATGGGAAAGAGCCTCCCAGGTCAAAACAACCTAAAGGCCCGTGTCTAGGGGGCCTGAGGAGCTGTGACATGAAGCCGGAGAGCCAAGAGGGGATGGACTATGCCCCGGCCACATAGCCTTGGTCAGGACTTTGCTCTGCATTCCATGGGAAGGAATGCATGGAGCACAGTGACATGAGGAGATCTTATAACGCTCGCTTTGGGCTGCCCTAGGCAGGAAGGAGGTGTCGTGCCTGGGAGGGGCCCATAGATGCTTCTGGGGTGGCTGATCTATGTCTTGACCCAGGTGGGGGTTACGTAGTGTGACCACGCTGTGATAATTCATCTAGTTGTATATTTATGATGTGTTCGCCTTTTTATGTCTGCATTACACTTCAATTTAAAAAATAGCTTTAAAAAATGAAAGGATCACTCTAGCAGCAAATGGTTGTCCTAGTCAGATGATTGAGAGGTTGCCCCAAGAAAGATGATAAAAGCTGGGAGCAGCGAGTGGCAGGGGTGGCGAGTGAAGCCAGTGACAAATGTGTACGAGAGACAATAGACAGGACTCCGGGATCCGATGCAAACGGGTTGGCAGGTGGCGATGTGTGTGGCTTGTGCAACCCGCCAGGGTGCGATGCCACCCGTGAGGGAGGGAGCCGTGGCCCAGAGCGGTTCCGGGGCCGTTTCTGCTTCAGGGAAACTGCTGGGTGAGGCCCCTCGTAGAGCTGAGCTGAATCCTATCAGAGGTGGCCTGTGGCTGGTCCTGCCCTGGTAGGCCCAGTGCTGACATGCTGATAAGGCTCCTGCCCAGATAACAATCCCCCACCCCTGGTGGCTCATTGCACACAGCAAGCGGCCAAGGAGCCCCGCCTTTCCCAATTGCGCCCTGACACCTGCGCCCAGCTGCCACTCCCCGCCGAGATCCCTACCCTGGCTTCCCGCAGCCACTGCAGTTTGGCAGCTGGCCTGGGATGGGGAAGGGAGGAGGCTGCATTGTTCTTTGGGTGGAACTGAAGAACGTAGCTTTTGGCTCCCAAGAATTGACTTCCATTCTGTTCCCTGAGCTTTAGTTTCTGCTCTCAGTTTTCTGATGCAGACAAGCTTCTTGTGAAAAATCTTGGCTCTCTGAACGGCTCCTGCCTGCTCTGCATGCTTGTACCCGTTCTCATGCTTGTTAGCGACCCTCTCGAGAGAGGAGCAAGCCGCAGAGAGAAGGCACTGGAACGCCCATCTGTGGAGCTGGCTCCTTCTTCCACCCCACCAGCAATGGGGGCCTGCAGGTGGCACAGTCCATTCTTTGTACCTTAAAACATTTTTTCAACACAGAAGAAATACATGTTTAGTTTAAGGTATTTGGCTAGCACATGTATTTAACTAATGTGTGTCGAGTGCCACTGTAGCCTAGGCACTGTTCTAGCAGCTTGAAATGTGGCAGTGAACCCAACAGACAAAACCCCCACCCCTGCCTCTCTCCTAGTGGGGCTGGGAAGATAAAGTAAAAAATCAACCAATGTGAAAAAAATGTGGTTTCTTCTTTTTTCTTAGATTTTATTTTTATTTGCCTAGGCAATACACACATATGCTCTTGCTAAAAATATCGACTGTTTTCACCTGGACCACCCCTCCCCTCTCACACCCCCTCCCAGGGTAACCTCTGTCCTCAATCTGGTCTGTACCCTTCCCGACTTCTTTCTGTTCCTATATGTTTACATCCAGTGGGGCGCGTGGTGACTTATTTTAGATAAACTGTCCTCTGCAGCTTGTACTTTAGCTTGCTTTTTTTCACTTAACAACCCTCAAACATCAACCCACATCAACCTACTTCATTCTTTTTAAATGCTGCATCATTTATCACTTTATAATTTTAGTTATTTCTCCGCTGATGGAAGTTTTGGCTATTTATAGTTTCTTTGCTGTCACAAGCAGGGCTGCAGGGAACATCCTTGCCATTTGATTGTTGTGCAACTGTGCAAATAGTTCTCTAACAGGGGTCATAGGTAGTGGGATGATTAGGTAAGAGAATGATCATTTATAATTTTTTTTTTCGAGACAGAGTCTCACTCTGTTGCCCAGGCTAGAGTACCGTGGCATCAGCCTAGCTCACGGCAACCTCAAACTCCTGGGCTCAAGCAATCATTCTGCCTCAGCCTCCCGAGTAGCTGGGACTACAGGCATGCGCCACCATGCCCGGCTAATTTTTTCTATATATTTTTAGTTGTCCAGCTAATTTCTTTCTATTTTTAGTAGAGACGGGGTCTCACTCTTGCTCAGGCTAGTCTCAAATTCCTGAGCTCAAGTGATCCTCCTGCCTCGGCCTCCCAGAGTGCTAGGATTATAGGCGTGAGCCACGGCGCCCAGCTTCATTTCTAAATTTGACAGATACTCCAGCTTGCTCTCCAGAAAGGTTTCTTCCTGAGTGTATAAACACATTACATGCACACAGACACACCATTGCTTTTTCAGCGAGAGCCTGCAGTACCTGCCTTTCTTCATCCGATTTTGGTGTGTTAGATACCAGGAGCATTCTCTCTCGGACAGCCCCTCCGTCCTTCAAGTGAGGCTTATTGCTTTTCTCTCCAGGACTTCTCCAGGCCTCGGCCGCCCCAGAAAGCGCTCCCGGCAAACCCCGTGCCAGGCCGCAAGGCCCTCCCCAGGCCAGGCGGGGCCTCCCCACTGCGGCCCCCCGCTGCCACCCCGCAGCAGCCCCGGCCTCTGGCAGCACCTCTTCCAAAGGTGAGTCCACTGCGTCCACCAGAGCCCTTGGGGTAAAAGCCCGGTCCCACAGGGCTTCAGCGGGGCAAGCGTGGGGCTGGTGGGCTGCGTGAGCAGGTGCATCAACAGGCTTCCACTGGAAACCTTTCCCCTCCACCAACGGTCGATCCGTCTTTCAAGCTGCTAGAATCGGGAGGACAGCTCCCAGTCGGTCCTGTGGATCAGCAGTGAGCTGATGTCTTCCTCCCTCCCTTCTCTCTCTTTCCACAGTTTCCAGAGTACAGGTCACAGCGGGCTGGCGAGATGACTCGCTCGAAAATCTAGACCCACTTAAGGGGTTTCTACGTTTCCTTTGAGGACTCTGGACGCCCTAGAGGGTCCAGGGCCCGCGGAACCTGAAAGAAGCATGTCCGGCCACCTCCAAGCCCCGCCCGCCCTCCTCCAGAACCACCACGTCTCCGAAAGTCCCCTTCTCGACTCGGTGCCCCCTCGGCTTCCTCTGAGGCCCAGGGGGACTGCGACCCGCCGGCTTCTAAGGGTGGTTTTGTGCAATAGACAGCCCGGTAGGGAGGGGAGAGCACGGAGGAGGGCGGATGGCAGCGTCTCCTCCCAGCCCCCCAGGTCAGGGCCGTCTGAGCCGGCCAGCGCAGCGGGGACACGTCCTGTTGGGCCCCTCAGGCCAGGACTTGGCCTGCAGAAGCCATCGGTCCGTGTCCTGTGGGAGAGGGTACGCACGAGAGCTTCCCGCTGCTCCTGTCTCTCCTGGTGGCCCCAGGCTGGACAGAGGCTGGCACTTACCCCTCCCCTTTAGCTTTTAGGGACTGAGGAAGGGGCAAGCCAGCCATCGCTGTGGCCCTGCCCCCTCGGCTTGTTTGAAATGACAGCTTCTGGCTCTGTGCCTGCATGTGACAAGCCAAGTCCCCTCCCCACTTCCCCCCGAACGCCCACGTCCCCTTATCCACACGGGTCACTCTGACTCCAACAGGTACTATTTGTAGGCAGTGTAGACAGCAGGGGAGCGCCAGGCTCGGGCCTCCTCTGAGCTGAGATGCCAAAGGTTGCGACTCCCAACGCATGGTCATTTTGGGTTGCTTTCTGTTTCTTCTTCTGCACTTTCCTAGCGCCCCAAGCTTCTCTCTTTACCTTCCCCCTGCCCCCCTCTGATGCGTGGTGCTTGGGTGAGCGGCCCCTCCGCAGTCCTGACTTTCTGGTGACCAGGTGCTTGTGACCTGCACGTCAGGGTCCTGCCTCCAGGTTGGCCACTGGATTTCCCGCATTGGATCTCAAGAGCATTGGCCCGAGTGGACTCAGGGCACGGCCCTGGGGGGTCATAGCTTTAGTTTTCATTGTGCTTTGTGACCTCAGCAGGGTCAGGGTCTTCCTCCTTACTCTTTGACCTACACCAGGGTGAGGTTCCCCCAGGGGTAGGAGCAGGTGTGGCGAAGGTAGCCAACACCTGAGGGAGCCCGGCTGTTAACAAACTGTGCACAAGGGAGCCAGCCTGCCCTAGTGGTCTGGTCGCTGGCTCAAGGCAGGACCGTGGCTCTCGGAGCGAGAGCAGACCTGTCTCTAACCCAGGGAGCCTCTGCAGCTGAGAGCCTTCGAGAAGACAGCCCGCCATCAACAGCTGTTCTGGAACAATCAGCGCTGTTGATTGGCCCCTCTCCGCCTCCCCAACCTGGCTTTTATCCTTCACTTCCCTTCGCCCTCTCCCTCTGGCCACTGCCCTTCCCTGACCCTCGCAGAAAGAGAGCTGTGAGCACGTGGGGTACCCGGGCTGCCGTGGCCCCGTCGTCCGGGAGCAGGGAGGGAGGACTGCGGTGCCCGGCTAGACAGGACAATTTTCTCCAGGTAGCAGCAGACGTTCTCCGAGAGACCATCTCCCGCTCCAGGAAGGTGCTGGGTGGCTCTCCAGAGGGGAGCTGGCCTGACTTTCACTCCTCTGAGGCTTTCCAGGGGCTCCCCACCTCCTGCAGTGGGCAGTTGTTTGCTCTTGAAAACCTCAATGCAAAGACTGAGGCCACCCACCACCCCAGGGCCTCCTTATAGTTCTCTGCACACAGTAGGTGCTTCATAGATGTTCTTGGGTTTGTCGATAAATGGGAGATACGGGATGTGCACAGACCTGGGGTGGATTTAGAAAGCTCTCAGGAAAATGAGTTCTTCTCTCCTCGGGGGTGGCTGTGATACCGGTGCCCTGTCTCCCCGGCCTGGGCCCTTCTTGCTCCCAGATCCATTCCCCACCTTCCTGGCGGCCTGAGCGAGTCAGGGGACAGCCTTCCATGTAAATGCACTGCCCCATGCCTCACGGCTGATCCCCAGAAAAACAAAGTGAAAATAAACAAATAACACCCCCAGACCCCAGCCCATGCCTCATAGATGTTCCTGTGGCTTGTCCAGGAGTTAGGCAGCTCCAAAGGGACAATGCCACAGCCATTGTGACAGCATGAGGCTTCTGAACCTGCAGTCCACCCTCCCTGGGACCATACCCCAAAGAGACCTGGGTTGTTTTCTTGCTTTTTGTTTTGTTTTTGTTTTTTTCGTTATTTTCATGCCACCTCCATCCCATCAAATTGTACTGTGAACTGGAAGATGGTGGAGTTTTTGGTGTTTTTTTTAAATTTGATAGAGACTTTCGGCAGCTGGTTCTATTGGCTGTCTCCCTCCTGGCCCTGTTCGGGGAGACTGCCCAGGGGAAAGACCCACCATCCTACGTCCCCTTTTCTTTCCAGTGCCCGTCGTGCTCCTGTGAGGTGTCAAATACAAATAAACCCAGGCTTAAGGAAGGAGAGACCTTATTCGAAAGGATTATTGCAATTTGGGGAAAGGAAGTACTGCCAAGGGGGTTAGAGGGGCTTTTGCAATAGGGAGCATGCTCAGACCGACCTACTGCAAGATCAGCAAGCGTCTCGGAGCCCGGACAGAGAAGGCCTTTTCTTTTACTGGAAGAAGTAAACATGGCTAGAGAGAGCCACATTCAGGGAATGTCTTTGTGTGTGCCCTTTTTTGGAGATGGATGGGTTGTTAACCGGGGGATGTTTTCCTGCCAAGGTTGAAGGCAGGTCAAGGTCCAGGGTCCGGTGGGAAGGAGGGAAGTCTCGCTAAAGTTTGGTTTAGTGAGTTACCACCCTCTCGGATAGAGATGCATGTAAATCTTTATAAAAGCTAAATTAGCCTCCTGCCAGGTTTACAGCTCTGGAATGTTTTTCTTAAGAGCCTTGGAGCCATCTCTGAAATATAAATCTCAAGCGAGATAGCGCCCCTGTCTCCCTGTCTTTCTGGGAGTTTTAATAAGTACCTGCTTGCATCGTTCCTTTTAGCCATGTTGACTTCCCCCTGTAAAAAGAAAGCCCTTTTCTGCCCCAGCTCTGAGATTCTTGCAGATCTTAGGGTCCGAGAAGCTTGCAGACTTTCTGGTCAGAGTTTTCTCTGTATTGCAACACACCTTCCCCCCATCGCAGTAGTCCCTTGGCCATTTCTTGCCATCTTTCTTTCGAATATCTTCTCTCCTCCCTTATTTCCTCATTTGTTTTTATTTGACAGAGGGCATGGAAGTCTTGCATTTTTAAAATTAGGGACCAGTTCTAAAGCGAGTAATCGTGTTAAATGCACACATGACAGCTCTGCTGGACACCCAAGAAAGCCAAGGGAATGCCAACTGGAACGGTCCCCCATCATGGAGGGAAGCCTGCTAAGGAGAGGTTCTGCAAAATCCACGCCCCATGTCCCCAAAGTCACCCTCTGCATGTCCTCTCACACCATCCACTGTGTGTGTGTATGTGTCTGAGGTCCAGGGCAATGTGAATCTTCTTTTTATTTGGGAGATTGTTCACAGACAACAGGTCGTCTTCTCTCTTGTCCACCTATTAATTGTTTACAATATTTGTACATCTATGCAAAATACTTGAATGGGCCATGGTGCCTTTTTTTCCTTGTTCGTATTTAATTAAAATGAACCGTTTGTCATTTGGAATGTTATCTCGTTTGGCAACTCTTTGTATGTGTGTTTTAATGGGCCGCTGCTTAGACTGGATAGGATCCATGACACGTGGACTCCTCAGAAGGAGCGCCCACAAAGAACATTATTATGCTAGACCTAGAGCCACAGCAAGGCCCCGGGATTTCCCATGGCCAGGAGAAGCCGCTGGTTGTTGTTGCACCTGGACACAGGCTGGTCTGGTTTAATTGGGTCTTGCATCATTAAAGGCCTGAAAGGTCCTGGGAGTCTCTGGATACGTTTCTTCTCATGCTATACTATTGCACTTAGAAGCCAGCTGAGCACCGGGCGCGGTGGCTCACGCCTGTAATCCTAGCACTCTGGGAGGCTAAAGTGGGCAGACAGTTTGAGCTCAGGAGTTTGAGACCAGCCTGAGCAAGAGCGAGCCCCTGCCTCTGCTAAAAATAGAAAGAAATTAGTTGGACAACTAAAATAATATAGAGAAAAAAATTAGCCGGGCATGGTGGTGCATGCCTGTAGTCCCAGCTACAGGGGAGGCTGAGGCAGGAGGATCACCTGAGCCCAGGAGTTCGAGGTTACAAGAAGCTGTGATCGCGCCACTGCACTCCAGCCTGGGTGACAGAGAAAGACCCTATCTCAAAAAAGAAAAAAAAGGATAAAAACATATCTACCTTGGGGATTTGTGAGGAATTAGAGAATTCACAGGAGGCACTTCTTGTCCTTCATGCCTGGAGTGGGCCCAGGCATTTACAAGGGATGAGTTACTATCTGCTGCCTCTATTCCAAAAACAACCTTTCCCACTCTCTCGAGGGTATAAATACAAAGGATGCTGCAGGGACTTTGTTGGCAGCCACACGCTTTCAGAGACTGGAGACCGGCTCCTCAGCACTAGAGGAACCCATTTGAATTGCTCCATGTTCAAGGAAGGTCAAGACACCAGTATCAAGTGAATCCACTTTGAGTCTTTATTCTTGACCCTGCAGATCATGCTGGCAGGGCCATGCTCTCAGTTTAATGCCATTCCCAAGATCCAACGTGTTGCATTGATTTTATTTCCAGACAGAAATCCACATTCATTAAAATCTGGGGATTGGAGGCTGGAGGTGCAGGGAGCCAGTCTGCTGGTCGGCCGAGCCTTGGAGCTCCAAGGCCAGCAAGAGTTTGCCTGGGCTTGGCTACAACGTTAGGGCGTGGGGTGCAAACACAGGGCACAGGTAGGGGGTCACACAGGGGAGGCTCTGCACCAGCTGGGGGGCCGAGGACCCAGTATTCCCTCTTTCCAGATACAATGCCCACAACTTCCCTTTCTCAAAATCCTTGCACCACTGGGAAGAAGACGGGCAAAGAAGGAGTGTGAATTATATCTCTCTCCAGCTGCTCTGGTTTCATGGGCGCCTCTGGCCAAACGTGAGGGGACCAGCAGCAGTCCTCACAGCAGGTGGTGTTGGGAATGTCACAGCATGCTGTCCCCAGTGTGGGCGGTGGCAACCTGGCCAACAGCCAGAAAGTGCCCATGCCAAACCTGCACCCCCACTTGGCCATGGAGATGCAAAGTTGATCTCACTGGCCAAGCCTTTAGGGCTGCATCCAGAGCTACCCCAGAGCCCTTTTCTCCTAAGTCCCTTGTTGAGCACCAGCGTAAACACACGAGTTAGTCCCTGGTTTCCAGAGAGCCTGTGACTGCTTTCTGCCACATCCCGGCTTTGCTCCTCATCCTCTTCTACCCTCCCCACGTCACAGTTTGGCTGACTCCTCGAGGAAAAGTCAAATGCATTCTGCCAAACCCAGCTCGGCCAGCCCGGCCACGTTCAAGGGCGGTGCAATTGCCGTTCTCTTTCCACAGTAAGGCAAAATGAAACACTGGGTTGGTTTGGCCAGCAGTGCTTAGAGCTTTGCAGCATCTTTTGTTGCTACTGTTTTGTTTTGAGTCGGAACATCACTGGCTGCGCATCTCCGTGACTGACTCCGTGGATGTCCGCAGAGAGGGGACGGGGCGGGACGGACTGGGTGGACATCACGATGCCGACCGCCAGGCGGGAGGGAGTGCTTGGGGAAGGGGCTGGTTGAAATTGTTCCCTGAGACATCAGGTGGCTTTCACAGTAAGAAGGTCAGCTGAGGTCTTGCTTCCATCTCCGAAGAGGAAGTGGCAGAAGCAACAGGACAGTTTATGGTGGTGGTGTCCGTGTCAGCTCTGGGTGCAAGGCATGGCAAATGGCCCCCGGAGCCTCTGGGAGCCGGCTCTGTTTCATTCTCGGGCCAAGGGATGGAGGCGATTCCATCTCAGGAGGACTGGTGCGAAGGATTTTTCCTGATGACCGATGTCTCATCAGGAGATATCTTGGACCGCACTACATTCAACAGGTCAGATTCTGTCGTCTTCCCAAGAACACAGAGATGGCACCGAGGGAACGAGCGGGAAGCGAGGCCCAGCGCCCCCTGCTGGCACCAATGTAAACTAGAGTATTTGGTCTACTGAGGCTGTGTTTCCAGAAAGTTCTGCCACCACTGCTTTCTGGGTAGGGATTCTTCTCCCGGAAACAGCGATGAGGTATAAATGAACATCTCAAGAAAAGAGAGCCCACTGGTAACCAGGCGGCTGTGCTGAAAATAACCAAGTGGTTTCTAAACGGAGCGATCAGCCTGTGCCATCGGCTCATCCTCTCGCTCGTGTGTTCCAAGCTTTAAGAACGGATTGTAAACACTTTGGGCTTCTCTTCCGGTGACGGGGTGCTGGCAAGTTCTATGTTGTCCACAAGGACATTCTTGTCTTCCAGTCTAATGACAGTGGGCTCCGGGGCGGGGGGCGGGGGTGGGTTTTTGTGCGTGTGAGGCAAGCTGGCCCAGCTGATGTCCAGGTCTCTGAACGCATGAAGCATGAACACACCCAGGATGATGGTGACGAAGCCCGAGAGGGTGCCCACTATGTCCACGGCAGACATGCTGTTCCACTCCTTGAAGAGGGTGATGGAAGAGGTGACCACCACCGTGGTGAAGAACACGTAGTAGATGGGGAACACCAGGGAGGTGTTGAAAATGTCCAGCGCCCTGTTGAGGAAGTTGACCTGAGTGCTGAGGGACAGCGCCAGGATGAGGGACAGGATGTAGGGGAGCGGGTGCCGCACCACCGGCAGCCCCTGGAAGAAGTTCTTAATGGTGATGCCCAGCCCCTTGACGGCGGCCACGGAGAAGGCCCCGATCACAGAGCAGATGACGATGTAGACGAGGATGTTCCGTTGCCCGTACCGCGGGGCCACGATGAAGATGAGGATGAGGCAGGACACCACCAGGAGCACGGCAAACACGATGTACCCTTTGGGAAGGGAGGGATGCAGTCAGCGCCTAGGGCCTCGACCCGGGACCGCGGGAGGTGGCATTACAACAATGGGCTCTAGAGTCACACAAACAAGGGGTCCAGCCCCGGCTTTACATTTTTTCTAATAACTCAGGCCAGTTGTTAAACCCCCAAGACCTGTTTCCTCATTTGAAAAGAAGACCGACAACAGGATCTTCCTCCTACAGCCGTTTTGTGGGATTCAATGGGATCGCGTCTATAAAGCACTTAGGACGGGACTTGGCACATAATAAACACTGAATCAATGGTGTCCATAATGCATGGGACCAGGCAGCCTTGCTAAGTCCCCGCCCGCCACCTTTGCTTGCCTCGTCCTCTAGGTGGCAGCATCTGAGATGGTCAGAGCCCAATCAGACCTTCCGCAGGCTTCTCCCCCAGTGTTCTTCTGCTCCCGGGTGCCCCGAGCCTACCTGTGTCTTTCATCTTGGAAGCCATCTCCATGACGGTGGTGACCCTCTCTTCCTCGGGGGCGTGTATCACCATCACTGTGCTGCCGGCCACACAAATCACACACCCCAGCTTGCCCAGCAGGTTCAGGGTCTCTCCCAGAAAATAGGAGGAGAGGATGGCACTGCACGTGGAAATGGGAGAAAGGGATTAGGGCAGCCCTGCCCGTCCCCGTGTCCCAGAGAAAACTGGGGGCTGAGCCAGCTCTCTCAGAGAACAACAGATTAGAACTCACTACTCGCTCACGTGGAGCCTTGTCTCGATCCCCCCAAAATATTTGGAATAGAAACTCATTTCTGAAAGGGTTACAATGTTTGCTGGGGGGGGGGGAGAGAAACGCAGGTGAAAGTATTCCCAAACAGAAAGAATTGGGAGAGCCCTTCAAAGCGCTCTTGTCTAACTTCCTACCCACTGGTCACATCCTCTCTCAGCACTGCTGACAGATGGCTTTCAGCCTTGGCTTGCATACTTCTGGTGACAGGGAGCTCACCCCCTCAACAAGCCAAATGACTCCATTGTAGGTTCACTCTAATTATGCATCAAAAATATACCTCCTGGTAGTTTCTACTCCTCATCCCATTTCTGTTCCTCAGGTCATAGAGAACACATCTATTCCATCTTCCATTTGTATATGCCACTATAAACAACTGCAGTGACAATAACAGGCAGTGCATCTTAGGCATATGTTACCTACTAGGTACGGCACTAGGAACTTTGCATTTTTCTCACTAACATCTCCCAACTCTTGATGAAGTAAAGGCTACTACCCCTATTTTATAGGCAAGACACCTGAGGCTCACAGAAGTCAAAGTGAATTGGCAAAGTCAAACCACTGATAAGTAGTGGAGCCAGGATTCAAGCTCAAGTGTTAATTATAAAGCTGATGGGTTTTCCTCTATACCTCATTGAAGAAGATCCTTATGACTTCCCTGAGCCTTCAGTTTCTGGGCAAAACACTTCCAGTTCCTTGCTGTTCCTCGCTGATGTGCTTTCCTTTCCCCTCACCTCCTCTGGATGAACCAGTAGAGGTAAGAGAAGAAGAGAAAGAAGCTGGGCAAGCGAGGTATGATCACTGGGCTTGCATTTGCTTTTTTCACAAAGGTGCATTTGTTTAGGGTAAAACTCTGCTGGCTGTCCCGGGACCCCATAAACTTTTTAAAATCCTGGTTCAAGGTATCCAAAGAGAGGGGATTGGTGTCTAAATTCCTTGTCTGTCTCCTGTGTCTCTTCCAAAACTGCAAAAAAAGGTTTTTGCCTATAATTTCCCATTCAAGAGACATTCATGGAGGCCGGGCGCGGTGGCTCACGCCTGTAATCCTGGCACTCTGGCAGGCCAAGGTGGGTGGATAGCTCAAGGTCAGGAGTTTAAAACCAGCCTGAGCAAGAGCGAGACCTCGTCTCTACTAAAAATAGAAAGAAATTAATTGGCCAACTAAAAAATATATAGAAAATATTAGCCGGGCATGGTGGCGCATGCCTGTAGCCCCAGCTACTTGGGAGGCTGAGGCAGGAGGATCACTTGAGCCCAGGAGTCTGAGGTTGCTGTGAGCTAGGCTGATGCCAGAGCACTCTAGCCTGGGCAACAGAGTGAGACTCTGTCTCAAAAAAAAAAAAAAAGAGAGAGACATTCATGGAGGCAGGGGCCACACGCTGGAGGATTCCGTGCCTCTCCCACCTTCCCTGGGTGGGGATTTGCAAACTAATCAGACATGCAATAGTGGCATCACAGCTCCACCAGCTGTGAAATCAGCTAGGCCAGTTGTGCAGTGTGAGTCACGGTTGCATTTGCTTTTTGATTGTGTAAATGTTGCCAAATTGTCACCAAGACAGTAAAACAAACGAGGAAATTATGAGTACTGCGTGTGATCAGCTGAGATTTACCAGAGTCCCAAGATTAGGCTAATAATAAAAGACTCCTTCAATTGGGGTTCCAGGACATCCACAGAAGAGGAACTTGTTTTGTGTTTGTAACTCAAGGGGACTGGGGGCATAGGGAAACACACACAGCTAGCATCCGTTATTTTAAAAATCATCAGACTGGCTGGGCATAGTGGCTCACGCCTATAATCCTAGCACTATGGGAGGCCGAGGAGGGAGGATCGTTTGAGCTCAGGAGTTCGAGACCAGACTGAGCACGAGCGAGAACCTGTCTCTACTAAAAAATAGAAATTAGTTGGACAACTAAAAATATATAGAAAAAATTAGCTGGGCATGATGGCGCATGCCTGTAGTCCCAGGTACTCAGGAGGCTGAGGCAGGAGGATGGCTTGAACCCAGGAGTTTGAGGTTGCTGTGAGCTAGGCTGATGCCACAGCACTCTAGCCAGGGCAGTGATGCATAGTGGTTAAGCATCCTGAATTTGGAATTACAGTCTGGGTTGGAATCCTGGCCTGGCCACCTGGAACCTAGTGACCTTGGCCAAGTTGCTTAACCTCTCTTGACCTTAGGTGGGGATATTGTGAGTATTAAATGAGTTATTACACAGGATATGTTTAGAAAGTTTAGCCCATAGTAAGCCCTCCAAGCATGCATTTGCTGTGCATTATGTCATTTAGTCCTGGGAACAATGCCTCCAGGTTAGTATTATCAGCATTCCCACTTTGCGGATGGGGAAATTGAGGCTTAGAGTGGTTCAGTGACTTGCTCGTGGTAACATAACTACTCAGCGGTAGAGTGAGAATTAGAACTCAGGTAGTGTTAACCTAGGGCTCATGCTCTCCACTTGCAGCCTGCTTCTATTGGGGACCCACAATATTGTCATGAGACACTTGACCTGGTAGCAGTGGAAGCCCTTCCAGCTGGCTTGGGCTTGGCCTGCCCCTCTGTTACCCAGGTAGTCGAGAGGAAGCAGCGGCAAACAACCCAAGGGTCCGGGGCTCTGGATAGCAAGCTGCCTCTTTTTGGGGGCTGGGTCCCACCCAGGTCCCCGATTGGCAAGTGGCAGCCAACCCCATGTGGCATTTCCAGGCCTCAACAAATGGAAAGCAGGAAGGAGCCAGAGACAGCTAGAGAGGGGACAACAACCTTATGAGGACACTCAGCGCTCCCAGAGGTGTGATGACTGTCGCAGGTGCAAATGCATAGGCCCCGAAGTTGGCAACTTCTCCAGCAGCCACTAGGAAATGAAGGGAGAAAAGAGGCCAGTGTGGTGTGGACGCACCGTCTCCATTCCAGATGAATCTGGGTCAAGACTGCTTCCTTCCACGTTCAGCCACCCGTAGAATCCCAGAACAGCATTCCATAAAATCCTGATTCTGATGCTCTCTCCCCAAAGAGTTGGGTCAGGTCAGTCCCAGACTATTCTGATCAAATTCTCCCACTTTAAAGATGGTAAAGCTGAGGCCCAGAACCCAAAGCCACATGACACACTTGTGGGTAGAACCTTCTTGTTCTTCAGATCTCTTGGCCTCTAGTACAGGCATGGCTAAGTTCATCTCGGGGACTGCCAATGTTCTGGACTATATCTTTAAGTTCTAGAAAGTGGTAATTATCAATGAAGAAATAGTTACATTTGTTGATTCTCCAGGTACCCATTGGGCCAACGACCCCTGTTTCCTGGGGGAGCTGTTGTCACTCTAGACCGACAGGCGGATGGTTAGAAAACGCTGACATTAGGCCGGGCGCGGTGGCTCACACCTGTAATCCTAGCACTCTGGGAGGCCGAAGTGGGTGGATGGCTCAAGGTCAGGAGTTTGAAACCAGCCTGAGCAAGAGCAAGACCCCGTCTATACTATAAATAGAAAGAAATTAATTGGCCAACTAAAAATATATAGAAAAAATTAGCCGGGCACGGTGGTGCATGCCTGTAGTCCCAGCTACTTGGGAGGCTGAGGCAAGAGGATTGCTTGAGCCCAGGAGTTTGAAGTTGTTGTGAGCTAGGCTGATGCCACAGCACTCTAGCTCGGGCAACAAAGTAAGACTCTGTCTCAAAAAAAAAAAAAAGGAAAAAAAAGAAAATGCTGACATTCCCAAGGGGCCTACATTCTTCCCATCTGAGTTTCTAGTCTGTAAACTCCTGCAAGTGGCTTTTCTGTCTCTCTGCTGGTAGAGAACACGCTGGGTCTCTTTTCTGAAAGCAGACGATGACTGATAGCTCTGGCTAAGACAAGGATCAAAACCTGACTCTGGATTATAAATAGAAGCATGGACGATTTTCCTCCTCAAAGAGTTAGGGTTCGATAGACAAAGAGGAAGGTTGGAAAGTGGGGGAAATGTGTGCGTGTACAAATTTGGGCAAACCTTGAGTGGCTGACCAGGTATTGCTTCGTAGGCCAACAAATCAAATTGCCTATGGGATACGGAAGTTGTTTTAGGAGCCCCAAATTCTCCCATGTAGAAGTCCAAGAGTCCACTGCCAACAGGCAGTGATGTCACCACCCTCTGCTTCGGGAGAAGTTCAGAAAATACACCTTCGTCGTTACTAGCTCTGTACTAGTCACGATGGGGGTAGATGCTTCATGGATAAAGACTGATTTTGAGATGAAGTTTCCTTCATCTCAAATGTTCTACCAGCAAAGGTTATCAAGGTTTCCCCCTGGGAATCTGGGCCTCAGATTTATACTTTTCCACAAGAGAGACGAAAATGCCCCACCCACGCCTCCCTTTGTCTCCATGCCTGCTGTCGACAGGCCAGTGTTATTAGTAGCAAAAAAACCCACTTACTGGTGAGAAATCCAGCCCACCACATCGCATCCTTCAGGTAGCCATAGCCTCCGTCCACTGCAGAGGGAAGGGACACAAAGTTAGCTTTGAACTTGGCCGCTGTCCCAGGCACTTTTCCCAACGCTACCTTCATTTCCTGACCTCTAAGTGTTCTTTTTTTTTTTTTTGGCATATTATGGGGGTACAAATTTTAAGGTTTCAATAAATGCCCATTCCCCCCTCCCGCCACAAGTCTGAGTTTCCAGCATGACCATCCCCCAGACGGTGCACGTCTCACTCATTATGCATGTATATACCCGCCCCCCTCCATCCTCCGACCTGCCCAATACCCTATTACTGTAGTTCCTATGGGTCCACTTAGGTGCTGCTCAGTTAATACCCAGTTTGCTGGGGAGTATATGTGGTGCTTGTTTTCCATTCTCTAAGTGTTCTTTGTGGCTTGGTTCTGGGCCTTCTCCTGGGTGAGTTCATCCAATCCCAAAGTTTTTTTTTTTTTTTGAGACAGAGTCTCACTTTGTTGTCCAGGCTAGAGTGAGTGCCGTGGCGTCAGCCTAGTTCACAGCAACCTCAAACTCCTGGGCTCCAGAGATCCTCCTGCCTCAGCCTCCCGAGTAGCTGGGACTACAGGCATGTGCCACCATGCCCGGCTAATTTTTTATATATATATATCAGTTGGCCAATTAATTTCTTTCTATTTATAGTAGAGACGGGGTCTCGCTCTTGCTCAGGCTGGTTTTGAACTCCTGGCCATGAGCAATCCGCCCACCTCGGCCTCCCAAGAGCTAGGATTACAGGCATGAGCCACAGTGCCCGGCCCAATCCCAAAGTTTTAAATACCATCTCTATAGGGTGCCCCGACTTCCTTACTGTAGCCTGGACCTTTCTTCTGAGCCCAGATATATATCTACTGCTTACTTGACATCTCTTCTTTTATCTCTCACAGACATCTCAATCTCTTGTCTAAATGGAACTCTTGGTTTTAAATGTTCCCCACCCACCCACCAAATGAAACTCAGCAAATGGCGCCTCCAATGTACCTAGTCGCTAAAGCCAGTAACCAGCGACTTGCTCTTTGCCTCCACTCTCTCCTCTCCTTCTGCATCTAGTCCAACCTGCTCGTTCTGTCTCCAAAAAGCATCTCACCCTTGGGATGGAAGTGATACTCCACCCAGGACAAGGCGACCAGAACCAATGCCACGAAGAAACGACTTAGGAGAAGGGAAGGACGAGGCACACACCATATACTCACCAGCAAACTGGGTATTAACTGAGCAGCACCTAAGTGGACACATAGGAACTACAGTAATAGGTATTGGGCAGGTCGAGGATGGAGGGGGGCGGGTATATACATGCATAATGATGGAGACGTGCACCGTCGGGGGATGGTCATGCTGGAAACTCAGACTTGTGGGGGAGGGGGGAATGGGCATTTATTGAAACCTTAAAATTTGTACCCCATAATATGCCAAAAAAAAAAAAAAAGAACACTAGAGTCAGGGAATGAAGGTAGCGTTGGGAAAATGCCCTGGACAGCGGCCAAGTTCAAAGCACTAACTTTGGTGCCTTCCTCTGCAGTGGACGGAGGCTATGGCTACTGAAGGATGCGATGTGGTGGGCTGGATTCCACCAGTAAGTGTTTTTTTTTGCTACTAATAACACTGGCTGTGATAGCAGCACAATGGAGACAAAGAGAGGGTGGTGGGGCATTTTCGTCTCTCTTTGGAAAAGTATAAATCTGAGCCCAGATTCCCAGGGGAAACCTTGAATAACCTTTGCCTGTAAACATCTTTCTTTCATCTCAAAATTGGTCTTCATCCGTGGAAGCAACTACCCCCATCGTGACTAGTACAGAGCTAGTAATCGACAAAACTCCTCTCAACTAACACAACGA